AGTTGGACACCTCTATTCAAATAATATAACTGTAAATTTTTTTTTTTTTCGGTCAGTAACAATGTTTGTGCATCAAATGTGTGTGACACACATACCTGTAAAATAGCAGTAAAGACCAATGCAAAAACAATGGCCCAGGTCAATGGATAAATAAATTGATTGTCGTGTTGAAATACAGTCAGGATTAACAATTCTAAACCACTCTTTGCAAATAACATGGCTTGACTACTGATATTTGCCCCGAACACACCGTAACTATTATATATATTTAACCATCTAATCCAATAGCGGAAGGGAGAGAGGGGAAAAAAATAAAAAAATAAAATAAAAAAATATCCTACCTGATTCCGAGCCACATTTTTAAATCCGGGTGCGTCCAGTGATGTGGTCTCTTTTTTGAGAGATATTCGACGACATGAGTAGAAAATAATCCGACACAGGTAAAAGTCTCCACCAGCGAAAAATAAACAATAAAGGAAGGACGTTTGTAGAGAGCGATTAAATCCTGTAACGTATGGTTAGGTTCAGGCACGGTGCCGAAACCAGCCACTAATCCTGCACCCACAACAATCATAGCAGTACCTTCTATGTTGTTAGTTTATGTCTAATCTTCTCCCCCTTTTTTTTCTTCTCTCTCTCTCTCTCTTTTCTTCTTTTGCTATGGTTACCAAATACAGTGCGTCTGGTGAACGGGTCACCCAAGATCCAGTTGGCAAAGATGGCGTTAAAGACAAGACCGATGGCTCCAACGGGAGCAAGAATGACAATGGGTAAGTAGCCGATGGTACTTGTGGAGCCAATCATGTTCGAAATGGTGTAGATTAAAAAGCCTGCAATCCACATGGGTCGTTTATATAACGGGATCGAGGTATCAATATAAAGATGCGAACGTCTTTGTAACGAAATGCCAAACGCTTGTGTCATACTGGCTATTAAAGCAACTAGCAGTGGACTCCATATTTCTTTCCCCATTTTTTCTTAGAAAAAAAAAAGTGTGTATGTATATTAGAGAAAGAGAGAAAGGATAATAATTAATTAAAATAAATTCAAATGGAAATATAAAAAAAAGTATGCTCTATATTTAGACTATTCCTAAATGGGGCATTTTTTTTTTTTTTTGCGTCTTGTTTTTTTATGCTTGATGCCAATAAGGTTGTTGTTGCTGCCTTGAAGGTTGAGGGTAATAAGGTTGTTGATTATAATATTGTTGTTGCTGTGGTTGCTGAGATTGTTGTGGTTGTCCATAATGATAGACATCCATCATGGGTTTCATATAATACTGTTGCTGTTTATCAAATGGCATCATATTACTGCCTCCATGTCCGTTATTGACATCTTCGTACGCTTGATACTCATTATTGGGTTTATACACTGGATACATGGCTTTATTTACATAGGGGTATCCCAAGCCAGAAGAAGGGGGAGGAGGAGGCTGTTGTTGTTGTTGTTGTGCTGCTGGTGGTGGTGGTGCTTGGGCAGCCTGTTGATATTGTTGTTGTGGTGGGGGAGGGGCGGGCTGTGGCTGATAATAATAATAGCCTGTTTCTACTTGAGTAATATACTTGTCACGCGGGAATAAGTGGGTAGACCCCATGGAAGGTGATTGTCCATATACGGATGGATCATAATAATTCTATTAAAAATGTCCTTCCGTTCAATGACCGCTCTCCCCTCCTTTTTTTATTTTAAAATTTACTTACCATGCGAGGTTGCTCCATTGAGCTGTACATGTTATATTCTGCAGGCATCATGGCGTTATATCCATTGTGGTAAGGATTCATTGTGTATTCCGGTTTATGTCCCACCATACCTGCAGCTGCTTGCTGTTGTTGTTGTTGTTGTTGTTGTTGATGATGAGTATGAGGATGTTGTTGATGGGGCTGTTGTTGTTGTTGTTGTTGTTGTTGTTGTTGTTGTTGTTGTTGCTCAACCGATGGCATTTGTACCTGCATTCGCTGCACAGCAGCAGTAGGTTGAACGGGTTCTTTCCTTTTCTCGGGTAAAGCCTCTTGCTTTGTTACGATCACCACCTCCTCTTTTTCTACTTCTTTTTCGACGGGTCTTTCTTCTCCGTTAGACAAGTTTAGGCTGCCAAATTGAACATTGACAGAAGAAAGAGAGGCGACTGCTTGGTTAGCGGGTAAAACAACGGGTTCGGTCTGATGAAGTCTACGTATTGTGGGTTTTCGAAGGGTGACAACTTCCTCGACATGCTCTTCCTTTTTACTAACGAGAATCTCTTCTTGTTTTTCTGGCTGTTCGGGAACGGCTTCCTCTACTTTTTCTACTATTGACGCTATAGGTTCTGCTGCAAGTTCTGCGGTGGGTTCTACGGTGGGTTCTACAGTCGGTTCAACTGTAGGTTCAGTGGTAGGCTCGGCAACCATTTCGACTGTAAGTACAACTGTGGGTTCAACTGTGGGTTCAATTGTGGGTTCAATTGTGGGTTTAGCTGTGGGTTTAGCTGTGGGTTTAACTGTGGGTTCAGCTGTGGGCGTTACTGCTGGTTCGACGATAGGTTCTTCTGCGGGTGCTGTGTGTTCTTCTGTAGATTCGGTTTGTGGTGTAGGTTCGGTATGTGCTGTGGCTTCGGTAAGTTTATTCACTTCTGCTGGTGCTTTAGATGCTTTAGGATTAGGTGTTTTAGAATTAGGAGATGCTTTGGGGATTTTAGGTGTAGTTGATTCCACTGGTGGTATAATCTCTTCTTCCTTGACAACAGGGCCTCGAAGGATGCTTGCCCATGAAGGTTTGGGTGGTTCTTCTTCTTGTACTTGAACGATTTTCTTCTGTGGTTGTTTACGAGGTTTACTATCTAAAAAAAAAAAAAAAAAAAAAAAAAAAAGATTAAGACACAATACATGGGCTCTTTTTTTAAACGGTGGTTTACTTTGTTTGGCAGCGCGTGGAGTGTCTATAAATAAGGTTAACAAAGCGAAAAAGGGAGAGGAAGGACAAAGAAAGTGAAGGTACCTGCTTTGATGGTGGGTTTCTTAGGTTTGGGTTTTTTGGACTTGACTTGACCCCATTGGCTTGCATGACCTTTTTAAAAAGGGTGCATTAATAGAAAATTAACTTGACTACAAGCAAAAGCAAACTATACCTTCTGATATTCTGGCAATGGCAACATGTAAGTCGCCTTGACATTCATCCATGACGAATATCAAGTCCTCTTGACTCCAATCGGGAAATAATTCAGTTAGAGAAGGTAAGCTTGATTTATATAAATACGAAAGCGATTTATTGTTTCGTTTTCCTTGTGCTGGTGGTGGCATTTTTTATATATAAAAAATGTGTGTGTGTGTGTTGTGTTAGTATGGAGGAAAGGGGGCGGGACCAAAAGAAGTGGCCCCCCCTATTGTGTACAAATCTGCATAAAAAATCAGCCGTCACATTCTCCAAACACGACTCAAATCAAATATTCTCAGTTGTAACATCCATTACTGCACATTCGTTCTTCTCGGAGAAGAAGAGAGAGGTTCTGTTATAAAAACAAGTAATATAGGTATTTATTGGTCTCAGCAGAGAGAAAGTGCAAACAATCAATGGTATGGCCTATATTTAACCTACTCCATATAGTGCCATAGAGTAAAGGTTTCTTGTGTACATTGCTACATACCATAGTAAAGTCTTGAATCCAAGGTCTTCATTTTGTAATAAATAATGCAACTTTTAGAAGATGTAGGCACATGTTTTGGAGCTTCTTGGTTTCATTTATCCTCGTGCTTCTTTATGAGCAAACGAGTTACATTTCTTGTTTTGTTTTTGTTGCTAAAGTCTGAAGGTTTAATATAATTGATATTTGTTTTTGAGAGATTTTTTTTGTGGTTCATTCATCACAATTTACACATAAAAATACAGTTGAAGCATGGTTATAACAGTGAGTTAGATCACTTGTTTTTTTTAGCTAAAATATCTGCCTATGTTTGCCATGCATCAAAACTTGCTAGCGTATCAAACAGAAAAGACTTTTCAGAAAGTTGCGGTCTGACCAATTTTATTGTGTTAGTCCCCTAACTCCTAAGAAATAATAGATATGATTGTGTCTATAGACACGATTTATTTTATTCTAGTGCCCCAAGCTACTTGTAGCAGGTACATTTATCTTTGTCGAGATTTAGACTCCAGTTCTTCCTGCGTGTTTCTTAAAATTGTAACATATTATTATTATGTTCTTTTGACAATCAAGAGAAAAAATTCTTCGTACTTTAGATATGTCATTAAAGTAATTAAGATTACCTAGATGGCAAAGAAAAGTGTGTGTAAAAAATGTAAATCTTATTTTTAATAAAAAAAAAAGTTATATAATCGGATGGTCATTTTGCCTAGAAAGATAAGTCGGGCAGTTCTTCATTTGTTAGCAAACACTATAACAAAACTAGACAGCATATGACGCTGTATGGTAAAACTCTGTATCTATTTGCAAGATGACATGGATAATATTTATGATAACAATCATCTCCTCATTTATTACATACAAACCTTTGTGTACATTTAGCAGTAGCATCTCCCTGTTACCATTTGTTTCTTTACATGGCAGGTCTTATCATTCATCCCAGAAGAGTGACCATCTAATTCTTTTTGTTGTTTTTGTTATCTCGTCTTACTTTATAATATACCCCTTGTATAAAATAAAGGGTTCCAACATTGTGATTAATTAAATATTTATTTGCTGATTAATTCAAGCTTACCTACTTGTATGACATTACTTACAAAGCACCTTAGGCAATGTTAATTGGGTGCATATATTAAAAACTGTATTCATGGCAGCTTTTTCTCCAAGTCATTGTTGTACATGCTTTTTCTATGAGTGATTCGGTAGCTGTGTAGAGTTTGCAGTATAGGGCGGTGGGTAGGTAATTTATCAGTGTAACTTTTATTTACTCACTATTTTGTTTGAGAAGCACTGACACTCTTTTTGACTTTTTACTGCATGCAGGTCCAAGTACGATTCTCGGGTAATAATAATAATAATAATGAAACTACGAGGTTTCTACTAGAGATATTATGCCATGTACAGAGATATTATGCAATCGTTCGAACAAAATCAAAGTATTGTTTCACCGGATGCGCGGATGTGACACAAAAATATTTGATAATGGTATCAATGATCCAATCTGCAGGATTTTGGTTGTTTCTAAGGACTTGGTAGCTTAAAAGACGCTCTACTACTGAGCCGAATTTTTTTTTCTTCTCTTTTAATTATGTAGGATTTAACAGGCGTTTAAAATCAAGTTCACTGAACTTAAAAAAGAGATATACAAGACCAACAAGTAAGGCTTCTCATCTGTCTACATCATCGGTGGACTGTCATGTACGTATTTAATGCAGCGGTAGTGACGAATTATAGAAGATATATAAAAAGAAGGGATATTTTTTTTATTATGAGAAAATCAATGGAGAGGGTTTACGATGTATGCCACGTATAAAGGCATCTTTTCTTCTAGGTAAAAAGCCTCTAGGCTTTAAAGGACTTAATAGTTTCCTGCCTCGCATCATGTTAAGTTCAGCGGAAATCATGCGTAAATGATCTGGATTGGAACGAGTGTCTCTTGTATATGTATTGGTATCTGGATTAAATCGGGGTTGAGTGGTTGCTTCGGATCTTCTCTTTTGGGAGATGGGTCTACGAGGTGGTATAGGCATAGGAATAAACTTGTTGAGACGTTTCTTGGTCTTTTGAGCGACGGGTTTTGTTGTGGTTGCGACGACAGCGGGAGTGGTTGTTACGGATGAAGGTGGGGATACGATTAAAGTTCGCTTTAATTTAGCCAGAGTTTCTTTCCATAAGGCATGATCACCTTGTGGTGGTGAAGAGGATGTTGGTATAGAATAGGATACAGTAGTTGTGGATGAGGTAGGGGATGATTTTGTGTTGAAAGATGATACGGAGTGTCTACGCAATAAATCCTTTGTGCTACTCGTATCTTCCTCTTCCTCTTCCTCTTCTTCCTCAGTAAAATCATCATCATCCACAGTCTGTAACATTCTTCGTTCACCTTCTTCCTCTTCTAGATTGAATCGTTCACTTAACGAAGGTGGTGGCATATGTAGTGGTAATACTTGTGTGAAGAAATCTGCAGATAAAAAATTCCTTAATGGAGACTGTACCTATTATATTTTTAGAATTTTTTTTTTACTAAATAAAATAACCCCCATCCTCCCACAGCACAAAAAGACATTACCAGCTCTTCTTCATCAGGTAAAGATTCCTTACTGTCTACCACTATCCAGTCTTCTACATGAGACATGCGACGCATGGGTTCTTGTTGTTCTTTACGACTGCTTTTGGGTCGTTTCTTTTTATGTCGTTTACTCAACATGGGAGGAATATCACCATATGGTTTTGTGGTCTGTTGTGCTGCTAACTGTTTAATGATCTCTCTATAAGAAATCGTATTGTCTAATTGACCTGGAATAGCAATAGGTTTGGAAGGTTGTTGTAACATGGTGACCATTTTTTTTTATTTTTTTTTATTTTTTTGGAATAAAAAAGAAAAAAAAGATCAAAAAAAAAAAAAAAAAAAAAAAAATTATATATAAAAATAAAAAAAAAGACACACACAGAGCACACAAGAAACGTGTGACTTTAAGACACGGGGGAGTTATTTTTTCTTTCATGTGGTAATAAAGTTCTTTTTTGGTGGTCAGTTTGAAAGAATTTATCATAGGATAAATAAAGCAAAGTAATCGAGGTGATTGTAAAGCCCGCCAAATAACTATTTCTGGTCCATTTTTGAGTCTTGATGGAGGTTTGATGGGCTTTTTCCCAATTGACTCCACCGGGACTGGTCTGATTATTCTTTTTGCTATTTGTTAATTGTTCATACGCCACTGTAATCTCTCGAAAATCAACCCCTTTCCCACCACTGGCTACATCCGGATGATGCTTTTTGCATAGTTCAAGGTAACGTCGTCGGATTTCCTTTTGTGTAGTATACCGACCTACTCCCAATATATCATACGGTGATTTGTTATTCATCAAAAAATAATAATAATAATAATAAAAAATAACAACAATAAATAATAATAAATTAAACAACGGGGGGTTTTGGGGTGGATCTAAACAAGCGTCACACTTTTTATATTTGTGTGCCTGAATTATTATTATTTTATTTTACAACACAGCTCCAACTGGCTACTGTGTACCAACCTCCCGTATGATGCAAAAGACAAATTAAGGACCATTTGCCTGTCTCGGATACCGTCACTTTCCCATCATACGTTTGATCTTGTGGATAATACATTAATTTAACTAATTTACCACCCGGACTCTTGATGGCTAATTTATGATGCGTGGCACTCGTCCGATTACCTCGGATACAGAAATGATAGGTCTGTAAAGGGAACAATCGATAACACTGCGGCTCTTGAATAAAAAACTCGTTATGGTCAGAATATAACTGTACAAAATCAAGTGCTTTCTCTTCTACTGGTTGCCCTTGGAGATAAATACACATGGCCAGTGGGTAATGATTCTTTTGAACAATCTCGGGTAATCCATGAGAAGACTGCGCTGGTACCACTTTAGGTCCTGCATAAATCTTTAACCAACCACGTCTTTGATGAGGTGGTAAAACTGCTTTAATCTTACACACTCGATATCTCTTTTCGGTGATGCATTGGGCTAAACCACGTACAACCGTTCCATCTTCTGCTTCGGTCTCTGCATAGCAACTAATATTTTCTTCCAGCTGAAGGCAAAAGTAGAACACACCACCTTCTTCCGCTATTTGATTCTTGTAATGAAGCATACGAAGTGAATGCCAAAAGAATGGGTTACGCACATACGGAAGAGAGAAAAATGCATGTTGGTTTAGTGGTGAATTAAGGTATTGATAGTGGGATGATTTAGGAAGATGCGTCATAATCATATCCTGCGGTCTTGTCAAGAACCAATGAGCTTCCATCTTGTTTTCATTGTGTGGGTGAAACGGTGATGCTAACCAACAATCAATCAAACGATCTTCTCCTTCAATCTTAACCGAACACCAAGCATGATTAATACTTGTTGTACCAGATTCTATTGTATCTTTAGGAGCTACATATTATATATTTATATAATTGTTTAATGTTTTAAAAAATGAATGAGAGTAAAAGGGTAATCCCTTTATAAAAAAAAAACAAAGTTACCTGATAACAACCTTTTAAATATCCTCCAATCACTTTGGATTCAAATCCTGCTGCTTCTGCCATGACAGCAAATAAAGTAGCCATCCCTAAAGAGGACTGGCATGACCTTTTTTCCAATACTTCTTCTGCTGATTCATAACTTGTGTCGGCCAATAACATGATGTGTGATGTTTCTTGTAATAAATTCATTGTGTCTTGTTCAATTCCTTCTGTTATGAGCTCTTCTTCATCTACTAATCGACTTAAACGCTGTCGAATGTTGGAAGATTTGGATGGTGTAGGTTTTATTAATATGGCAGGATGTTGTTGTTGTTGCTGATGGTGGTTGTGATGGTAAAGGGGTCTGATATTCTGGACCAACCAAATAAACAAAGCTCTTAAACGAAATAAATCTCGTTTATAAGGTCGTACTAGAAACTTTTGAGATAACAAAACAGGAGTTAATAACGGTCCTCTTTGTTGCACAGCCGATGCATAATGATCTATTTGTGTGAAATCATAATCAAAGGTTGCACTAGAAGACTCATTTTGATAGCTTTTTTTTTTTTTAAAACAGTAACAGAATGAAATTATAAGAATTATTACCAAGGGAAAAAAAAAACAATAAAATAAGACAAACCTGAGAAGTTGAAATGGGTTTGCTCCAATGTCATTGGGTGTGCGACACCGATGTAAAGCCTCCTGACAGTCTTGCTCGTACTGCTGTTGAGTACCACCTTGTTCAATTTGAGCCCGATTGGGTTGAAGTAAGCCTCGAATCTTTTTACTAAGTCCTCGCTTGAGAGGTTCTAATAAAGGAGGTTCTGCCTCCACACGCGGATACCAAAAAGTGGGTTTGGCAAGACCTTGTGACTGACAGCGTGTTCGAACATGACTCTGAGGGGTATTGCTAGGGCGAGGTAATGGAACTGAAGAAGACAGTGTGTCTTTGACAAGAGGACTAACAATACGTGGATGGGTATCTACTGCTGGGGCATGATAGCTTCTTTGTTGTACTGGAGAGGATGTTTTCCATTCATTGTTGATCATTGGTGATTCCCGTGCAATTCGGTTGTTAGAGACGGGTTTTCTGTGTACACGTTGATGTGGTGTAGATTTGGTAGAAGGTATACTATAGTTATCACTTCCACTACTACTGCTACTACTACTATTACTACTGTAATTGCTATTGGTGCTATACTTGTCTGTATGAGTGGATATGGATTGACGAGGAAATGCTCCGTGTATCATTTTATGGGTTTTGTTTATAAAAGAGAAAAGAAAAAAAAAATAAAAATAAAAAAAACAGAGACTTATAGTTTATATTGAAATCCCAAAAAGTGAGGTAATGTTTATTGTTTTCCCTTTTAAACGTTTTTGGTGTTACTAACAACAACGAAAAAAAAAAGCTTGGTATTCGGAGGGATTTTTTTTTTTAATTTGTTTTTTTTTTTTTAGTCAAGCATGGCTTCCACCATTTCTTCCATGTCTTCATCTTCTTCTTCCACAGCAGATCGAATCTTGCTATCAGTTTCTTCTTTTAAAAGTTGTTCCTTGACCTGACGTGTAGGAGGTAAACGTTCATTCTCCAAATCGGAGCGTTTAGCATCTTCAAACGTCGTAATGGCTGTATTTATTAAAAGTTAGACTTGCTTTCACTTCCCCCCCCCCCTTGCATTCCTCTTACCTGATTTCAAGCCTTCGACACCCAAGGCCAATGTGCCCAAAGGTAACTTACCTGTGGGAGACAATGACTTGAGCTCCGTGACACGTTCCGAATTCTCACGTAATACGGAAAAGACGCGAGAGATTTTGCCCACAGCCATGATTTTATTACGGATCACAATCTTGCGCTGTTCAACCTCATCCGCAGATGCACCCGACTTATCCTCCAACAACTTTTTATCGTCTTCTGCTAATTCTTCTTTGCTGCACACGTTCAAAACGGCAATCAACATATCCATAGCTATTAAAAGATAATATTTAGTTTATGGTTTACATCAGTATTTGCCACACTTACTCTTCTCGCCAACAAATGGCAAACTCCAGGAAAAGACATCCATGAAATTAGGCAACCAGTAAGGATGAGGTGTGCAATTGAACTGACGAATATTCATCACGTTATTCTCGTATTTCAGCACAGCGGCTTTGTTGTTATAGAGATCGAGATAATTGGGAGCAGAAAAGATGGTCATGACTGAAGGGAACGAGGTAGTCTTGCTCTTACGATACATACGATAACCCGCATCTTGTGCTTCATGCGCACGAATGATGGACAATAAATTATTACGTTCCAAGAATTGACAGGCTGCGTGATAACTGAAAAAGTAGGAACATCCTCGAACATGATTGTGAATAAATGTATCGTTATTCTTTTCCTGTCCAAACTCTTCGAGTGGATCAGACCAAAGCAAATCACACATCAAACCGTGCGTAGGTGGCTCACGGAAACGATCAATCTGTAAAAAAAAAAAAAAAAAGTATATAGCGTTAAAAAGGGTTATAATAGTACGTATATAGAGTAGCAATTTACCTTTTTCAAGTCATCCAGTGTGACGAGTTCGGGAGAGAGACCACCATGAATACACAAGAATTGTCTGTTCATGACGGCAGCCAAGGGTAAAGAACAGAATGAGGTCATACAGGCCTCATATACACTTTCGGTATATTTATGACGACACTCAATCTTGAATGTAAAGTAATCAGTCAAGTGCCTGCACTCATGATTACCTCGAAGTAAAAAGAAACTATTGGGATACCACATTTTCAGTGACCATAAATACAATACACACTATTCAAAAAAAAAAAGTTGGTTACTATATTCTCACTGTCGTCTAGGATACACTCACCTCAATGGAAAAATAGCCTCTGTCAACATAGTCACCGAGGAAAAGATAGGTAGTGTTGGCAGGATCACCACCGACTTCGAATAATTTCATCAAATCATAGTACTGACCGTGAATATCACCACACACTTTTTTTTTTATATAAAAGGGTTAGTTATGGGATAAATAAAAATAAAAAGAAGCTTACCGGTGATGGGTGCACCCACTTCCAAAAGATTAGGCTCTGTCTTGAAAATCTCTGTTCCCTTTTCGAGAATATATATTGCCTGTTCCTCTGTTAATCTTCCCTCTCTATAAAAATGGTCCTTTAAAAATTTGATATCCGGTAACCCAGGTCGCTCTTTGCTCCAAAATTCATCGTCCGTAGGTAAAGACGTAGCAGGTGCAGGAACATCTGTCATCATGGTTAATTCGAAACATCCTTAACATCAACTTTATTATTTTACCCTTGATGACACGATCTCTCGTGCTTACTTTGGTGCCATCTTCTTGTTCATATATAGTAAAGTCAATACGAGGTTGTTCAGGTTTGTTACGCAGTCTTGCAAGTGCTACACTATTCTCTGTATCCATGATGGTTTTATATATATAAAAAAAAGTATATGTAATAGAAAGAAGGGAATAACTAAAAAAACAGCCCAAAAAGATTTAAAAAACCTGGAGAATTTATATTACGGACTTGCAAAAAAATGGAAAAAATTTAAAAGAGACACACACTCATGTGTCTCGGGTTCAAAAATTAAAGTAAACCCTTGTTAAACCATTCGATAAAAGAAGAAATATACTTTATTGTCTAATATGAATTTCAAGTAGTAATAGTATGATGTTGCTGGTGGGAGTGGGATTAAAAGATTTAAGGCTGAGGTTGCAAATGTTTATTTATAAAGATGGTAACAAGATCATATGAATTCTTTCTTTCTCTCTCTCTTTTTTTTTTCTCGACTGTTTTGTATCACGCATCACAAGTATATACTTTTACCTGGTATTTCATCACACGACAAATCTTTTTTTTTTTCAATCTGTTACGTGAAGGGAGCGCAGAGATATACCTTTCTGCCTCTTAAAAAAAAAAAGCTGGTGATGAAATTATCTCGCGATCTGGATCTGAACTATTTTTAGCAATATGGAGATACATTAAAACAATGAAAAGGACCATGAACGCGTACAATACACGCGCAAAATTTCATTTAAAACGCGTCTCTTGTCCTCTTGCTAATGTGGCGCTGATAAATCATTGGGCTTGTATGACACAACAGTGTCAACAAAAGACGCCTTGATTGTATCACCATCATCAAATTTCCACAAAAAATGGCTGGTGGAGGGAAAAGACTATTTTGCTTAAACGGCATACAGCTGATAATGAAACACGATACTTCGTTTTATATCACACAAAAATAAGTTGGCATGTCTTCCTCCAATTTGATTACAAACCCTGACATCTTTCAATTTTAAAGCATGTGACGATAAGAAGATGAGGCTTCTGCTACTTGTTTGTGAGCAAACTTCTGCTAATTGTTTGTGAGCAAGCTTCTTTGATCTGCATGCTATCAAAAATTGTACCTAAAAATACTTGCTTTCTCGCTCTCCCCCACTGTTCAATGACTGCAGATAAATGAAAATCGTTCATCTGTTACCTCCCTTTTTCGAAACCAGATGCATATAGTCCATCTCATTGGCTCGCATGGATGGCGTTTTTTATGCGAAAAAATGCTTGGCTACAGTTTTTACACTTTAAATTCAGACAAAGTCAGACGAATCAAGAGATTCCTTACTTGTAAAATCTTTAAGCCATCAGTCCACTAGGGTAGAATGAGGCAGCAAAATTTATGGTGGCGCCTTGTCTGTGAGAGACAATCGGTCCATCATTACCAGTCTAAGCGGACCGGATAATGGTAAACATGCTTTTGGCAATCATCACGTCTCAATTCCTGTCTAAATCTACGCTTGAGTTTTTCTTTTTCGACTACTTTTCTTCAGAACTCTTCTACTGGATATTGACTAAATAAACCCCATCTGCTTCGAGCACGCTAGCTGTATTTTCTATTGTGTAGAGTATAATGGTCTGAATGTAAAAAAAAAATGTAGTGACAGGATAAAAAGAATATGGAAGACAGTCAGATATATTTTCGTGAGAATCCAAATGAGCCAGAACTAATATGTAGCTCCCGTATATTTAGAGCTCTTAATTTATATTGTTACTCTACCTTTTTCCTGCTATTAGTTTTTTTGGCCTTAGAAATTCATTATTTTTCTGTCAAAAATATTGATAAAATCATTAGTTTGTTCTTTACTTATATCTGACTCAGTCTTAATACTTTAGGTCTTTGTAATTCTGTATTTATTATAGCTGCTTGTAATTTAACTATTCCATTTTTGTATTTAACTGTACTCCTTCGAGTACTAGTCTTATCTAATTTCGTCGTATAAAACGGGCAATTGACTACGTCGGTTTCGATACGAACATGAGTGATTTGAAGAATCTACTCCAGTAATTAGTGACAATATGTTTTTTAAGATGTAAATTGTGAATAATTTTGTAGAGAACACGCCAACATTCAAAAAATAGTAACTGATTTATTTTTTTCACCAAAATCGATTCGAGGTTTTTGATAGAAACTAATTGCTAAATTGTGCGAAAAATCTGAAAAAGTTTAACTGTATCGTCCTGCTTACAAACAAAGAAGCAAATAAAAACTCTTGTTCACATTACTAAATCTTGAACTGAAAGTTTTATTACTATTGTTAATGTCAATAAAGTTTATTTATATTGCTGAAGTCTATGTTTATTAATCTAAATAGTCTTTCTCAAAAGTGAGCTACCATTGTATTTCTTATATTTCTGAGGTTTAGAAACTATAAATGCCGTTTTTAGCTTTTTCTATAAACAAGACAAAAATAAAAGGGTGAAAGTGATTACATTATAACTGGTTTTTTTTTTTTTTTTTCATAGAAAGGTTTACCTTATAATTTTGAAAAGATCATTGACAAGATTGAAGAGACGTTCAGTCAACAGGCATTTGAAATGACACCACGCTTAGCGCGACAGTTTTTTACGCTTTGGTATCATACTGCCTTACGTGATTACATTGCCACTTCACAAGACGGAAGATATTGTACGTTTTTAAAGGTTATCATGACCATGACTCGTGCATTATAGTGTTTCAGTGACGATTATGAAATCACAGCGACGGACGTGCAAATTGAGATCATCATGACGGCTTTTGATACGATTGAACCGGACACGGAGGCACTACTGAAAGCTTTGGATATATTGGTGTTAGAGAAATGGGATATATGGGTTTTGTCTGTGACAGAGGACCGTGTCAATGAAATTCATATCAAAGACTTCTTGGTGATTATAAACCCTGAAAATCCTACAGGTCAATGCCTCTCTGTAAAAAAAAAAAAAAAAAAAAAAAAAAAAAAAAAAAAAAAAAAAAAAAAAAAAAAAAAAAAAAATATGCGTGCAATTCTTTTGTTCTGTTATGAGCAACGTGTGATACTTTTGGCAGACAAAGTATGTCAGACGAATTGCTATGACCTTAAATTATATCCTTTTACAAGTTCCAAAAAAAAAAGTCTTGATGGGATTTTCAGAGAACATCAAATTACAGCAAAACGCGGAATTAGTTTCGTTTCATTTGATTTCAAAGGGCTTAATTGGAGAATGCGGACGTTGCGGAGGATTCTTTGAATGTGTTCATTTGGATAACCACGCCCTCGAACATATTTACAAGCTGGCTTCGGTGACTATTTGTCCTAACATCCATGGACAAATCATGGTGGATCTGATGCATGATCCACCACATGAAGGTCAAGTATCTTATCCATTGTATCAGTCAGAAATAGCGTCCATTTACAACTCTTTAAAACGACATAGTAAGAAGCTTGAAACAGTGTTAAATCAAATGGAAGGTGTCTCTTGTGAGCCTACACAAGGTGCAATGTTATTATTTCCTCGTATTATATTTCCTGTTGAGGTCTTGGAAGCGGCCAAAAACCAAGGTGAGGTACCCGACACTTATTATGCATTGGCAATGCTTGAGGCTACGAGCGTTTGTGTTGTACTTAGTAAAGTTTTCATAGTTTTTTTTTTTAATACGAAATAGCAAGAAAGAAAATTTTTAAGAAAAATAGGGTTTGGTTCCGGTCAGAAGATAGGAACATGGCATATTAGGTTACCAGAGGAGCATTTGTTTGATCAATTTTGAGAGAATGTTGAGCAATTTCACAAAGATTTTCTTCGGAAACATATAAAAATGTAGTATGATGATGATACTCATTAATTGTATTTAATATTTATTACATTATAACACCTGTAGGAATAAAATATTATACAAGTAGGACCTTACTCGCATGTCAATTAGAATCAGCGGACTTGTGGAACGTCCCAGTTGTTCAATAATGATCGAAACTTTTTAAGCCCACGAGTCTAAAACTAGCAAGTTTCATGCTCGATACCAAAGAAACACGCGTCACATGACGTTAGTTTGCAATCATAGATTTGTGCTTCCCTCGAGCCAATGTAACGTGTAAACACGATCGATAGGAAAGTGCGTTCAAGACGATGAAGGAAGATTAGAATATGCGAATTGAAGTGAACATGGGGTTTGAAATTGATTATTAATCATAAAAAGAAGAAATTTACTCTTTACAACCATGACATTCTTTGGGACCTAAATCGGGGTTAGTTAACCCCAATTGATTATTAAGCTAAAAAGGCTGTCAAAAGAAGATAAATTCAATACCAGATATGTCTCAGTGAATAGTATATATAAAGGGAATGAAGATTTTCTCTCGTTTTTACTTTATCAAAATATCAATTTGAAAATAAATAAATATACAAAATGGTTTCTAGCAAGCGTGTTCTCTTTACTAAAATTCCCTCTGGTTATCCTGTTGCTGGTGAACACATGAAGTTGGATGAGAAGACTGTTGACTTGGAGGCTGCTCTTCCTAAAGGAGATTTCATTGTGAAAACCCTTGAAATTTCTGTTGACCCTTATATGAGGGGTCGCATGCGTGATGCTTCTATCCAATCATACGCACCTGCTTTTGCATTAAATGAACCCATGACAGGTGACACCATGTCTGTGGTGGTTAAATCTAACAATCCTGATTACAAGGTGGGTGATCTCGTGTATGGCCGTACAGGTCGTGGTTTATTTGAAGAATATGCTCAAGTCAGTGCCGAGTATGCCAAAGGTGCTTATGTAGTTCGTAATGACGCTAAAGAAAATGGCCTGCCTCTCTCCCATTACGTCGGTGTTCTTGCTATGCCAGGTATGACCGCCTATTATGGGTAAGTTTCAAAAAAAAAAAAAAAAAAAATGATTTCATGCAATTAATTTTATGGTTTTTTTTAGCCTCAATGAGATTGGCAAGCCCAAAAAAGGTGAGACTCTCTATGTTTCTGCTGCTGCCGGTGCTGTCGGACAACTTGTTGGTCAATTCGGTAAAGCCATGGGTTTATTTGTCGTAGGTTCTGCTGGTAGTGACGAAAAGGTCGAATATCTCAAGGAGATTGGTTTTGATGAAGCTTTCAACTACAAGCATGGTGATATTGAAGCTAATTTACGCAAGTACTGTCCCGATGGTATTGATATTTACTTTGAAGGTGTTGGTGGTAAAATGCTAGATGCTGTTTTAGCAGTAGCCAATAACTTTGCTCGTATCATTGCTTGTGGTATGATCTCACAATACAACCTTGAGAAGCCTGAACCCTTATACAATATCATTAATGTTGTTACCAAGAGAATCAAATTTGATGGTTTTATCATCATGGATCATATGGATTACGAAGAAAAGTTCCTCAAGGAAGTGACCCCACTTCTTACTAGCGGCGCTGTAAAGTACAGAACTGACGTAGCTGAAGGTATCGAAAAGACTCCGGAAGCCTTAATCAATGTTCTTCATGGTAGAAACTTTGGTAAACAAGTCGTTCACGTTGCCGATCTTTAAGCATGTATGTATATATATCCCTCGCTTAACTTAATAAAAAAAAAAAAAGCTGTATAATATTTTGTGGGTATCCTTTTTATTATGAATTTATAAGTTGTCAGTCTTTCCAGAGAGTGTCTTAATTTCATCATTCACTCGGGTTTGGTATTGCTCGCCTTTTAAAGTCTCTAAAGCCTCTTGGCGAATCGTATTGTAGATGCCAGCTCTACTTTAATGTTAGAATCAATCGTAGTCTACATGACTAAAAATCGATTTTACCTTTCTAATTCTGCGGAAACTAATTCGTAAAAGGCCGAGGATTCTTTTTCAATTAATGAAGGATCTCTTGCGACCATGTCTTCCATAAATGACTTGAGTTTCTCCAAAAAATTTTCTCCTCCAGCCTATAAATATAAACAAATGTTTAAAATTGCTTTTCCCATGCAATGTATTTTTTTATAATGTTTACACCGGACTGAAAATCGGATAGTAAACGTTTTCGTAAATCGTCAAATGTGCCATTTTTTTTTAGCTGTAAAACAATCTCTTCGGGCTTCATTGGGTATGTGCGTGTTATAACAAGAGAAAAAAAGGGGCCACTGTCAAAGGAATAAATAAACAGAATAAAAAAGAGTCCCTTTTTTATACAATTTAACTGAGCCAATCATCATTGACTGAAAAAGGCAATGTCATTGATACAGAGAATTCGCTTGCATGACGTTTCTTTAGAAGCTGTTTGAGAATAGCTATTCAATTACTGCCTTTATATCTATGTATAAATGGCGAATAAGATAGTAAATTACTGCACATTCGGCCATCATTGCTTATTCTGGAATTTTTTCTGCCAATTTTGCGTCATTCTGGTGTAGCACAATTTTTTTCTCCTGGAAGCATAGAATATGTATTCTTTTTTTTTTTTCTTACATCACTTCCATATTATTCACTCAACAATAGGTTTTTACGAAAGAATTCTATTCAATGTAAGTTATTTAGCCTTTAATATCCTTACAGTATGAAATTTAGTGTTCACCAAGAAGATAGCTCACAAGCACCCAAGATTATTATAGGTTCTATTTGTCTGATCATCAAGTATATGTCTTTTATGGTAATAAAACCTCAGAACCCCCCTCATTTTTAATTAATTCCCTAGAAGCCGTAAATACTTGTTCAGCCCTTGATTTCTAAGTGCCTTCTTCTTTTAGATCGGCCGCAGCAACAGTCCCCAGATTTTAAACTTGAGTTTATAATCTATAACATGATACATGTGTTGTTTTTCATCTCAATTAATAATAAAGTAAAATCGTGGATATATTTGATAGGTATAAAATGTCAGGCTGTTATTCTATTCTTTTTATAATCCTACTGCATACAATATGTCTATTCAAGATCTAACTGAGAGTCGTAAATACTAACCTTTTTCTAAATCTCATTATGTTTTAGTAAGGCTTTAAGTATAGAGTAAGAATATATTTTAAAACCAATGACAATTATATCACTGAAAGAAGCAAAGGCCCTCCATTTGTCACAAGCAATTCTTATTATGTTTCTAGCTGACTGAAAATTATATCACTGAAAGAAGCAAAGGCCCTCCATTTGTCACAAGCAATTCTTATTATGTTTCTAGCTGACTGACAAAAAAAAACACACCATTTGAAAAATCGGCGAAAGAATTTACCGGCCCGAATAATTCCTTTTTTTTTATTATTATTATTATTTATTCTTCACCCCCTTCCTCTTTTATTTTGTAAAGCTTTTTATTTTTCTCTCATTCTTTTTCTGTATATTGAAACTCCAGTAATGTCAGATCCTCAAAGATGGCAAGCTGATCGACCACCGTACACTTCACCTTCCTTTTCAACACAGACAACAGGTTACAGACCATATGATCCGACACAACCACCACCACAACCACCACCACCACAACCACCACAACCACAACCACAACCACAACCTTCGCTCAGACCTTTACAGCCAAATCCATATCCATCGCTTGGATATGCAATGTATCCTTTTCCCAGAAATAGTCCCAGTACTTCACAATTGGGAGAATCGGATACGGATAAATCAGATAATAGACGTACGCGTATCAGTAGAGCATGGTATTATATGAACAAATCAATGTCATTGTTTAGAATAAAAAAAGGTACTAATCATCCCAAATAAAAAAGCGACGCATGTAGACGTAAAAAAATAAAATGTGACACAAGCGGACAGGGAAACACATGCAAAAATTGTACATCCTCCAAATTAGAGTGTACTTTCAACGATAGGTAAACATGTCATTTTTATATGTGTTGTAATCGCTTTGCTAATAGATGACCTCATAGCGCCAAGAAACGTGGGCCACCGAAAGGGTAAGGTATATTACACACTGTTTGATTTTTTAATTACTAATAATAAAAAAAAAAAAAAAAATGATAGTTATATTGAAGTTTTAGAAAATCGATTAAAGCGAATGGAACGTATATTGGGTGATTTGGCAGACACAGACGAGACAATAGCAGAAACTATCAAAAGCCCTAAAAAGGTATCGAGTTCAACAGGAAAAGCAAAAGAGAAAGAAAAAAAAGTATCTGTTACACCAACTGCCACAACCACTTCCGCTGAATCTGCCGGCACCACGACCGAAAGTTCAAGCGCTGATGCGCCTGTGATACCGTTTTCGCTCGCCACAGGTGTGCGAACACGATACATTGGGGATATGAGTCCTTTGCCTTTTTTGGCTCAAAAAATCAATTTTGAGGATGCTCGCATTGCATCGAGAATAGGTATTAAAATCAGAAGATTCGGTCAGAGTTTAGTCTTGTACGAAAAGGATGAATCATTGAATGGCAAAACATTGGAACAAAGTATGTTGGAAGATTTGAATCTGATAAAACCAGGTGAGACAATCAAGGGCTTAAATGATTGGATCTATAAAGTCGCTGGTGTGGATAAAGCTACAAGCGATAGTCTTATGAAAATGTATGTGATTTATTATCATTATTAATGTATCACTGATTTTTTCTTCGTTAATAAGCTATTTCGCATATATTCATCCTGGTTTACCGGTTGTAAACAAGGTACTTTTCCTAAAGCAGTATCGTGGAGAAATTGGTGAATATCCTTCCGCGCCACTTTTAAATGCTATTTATGGTGCAGCAGTGCGTTACATTGAAACGTGCGAATTGAACGGCGATAAAATTATGCAACACCATCATATTAAAATGAAAGAAGGTTGGTCTGAGGGATTCTTTGAAAACTTGCTTACTTTTATCAGAGGACGTTATACACCCTGTATTGCAACCGTTCAAGCCTTGGTAATCGGACAAAATCATCGTGCCAGTTTAGATGAAAAATTGGCAAGCGCTTGGTTATTAAATTCCGCAGTAAGCTTCTTTTTTTTTTAAAAGAAAAAATCTGGTTATTAACTTTTTCTTATTAAAGGCAATTCGAATGGTATTTGGCAATAAATACAATATAAAGCAAAAAAGGAAAATTATTGAAAGCACATGTTTTTTTTTTTTTGTAATTTTAGGCGCAAGATCTTGGACTTCATAGATCAAGCGACTGTTGGGATATACCGGCGTCCGAAAAGGAAACACGTAAAAGAGTCTGGTGGTCTGGTAAATAAGAAAGAATGCACATCATGGGACAGAAAAACAAAAGGGGTATTGAGAATTTTCTTATTATAATAGTTTATATTATGGATAAATGGTCTTCAGCTTCAACAGGTCGACCTCAGACGATTTTTGATGAGGATTGTGACGAAGGATATCCAAGTGAAATTGCTGACTGGGAAGAAGTGATGGACGTAAAAACAGGCGAGTCTCAGGATAATGGCCCTAGATACCCTTCTTTGGATAAAAGTGTTGCACAGAAAGCTAAAAACGAAAAAATCCCGATATATCAACCCTTTGTACAACTTGTGAAACTTTCTGAAATTCTTGGCAGAATTTTACAAGGTTTATATACACCTTTAGCTAAAAAACATAGTGAAAAACATGGTAGTGATGCTGTCGTTACCTATCTCGATAACGCCTTGTCTGAATGGAGATCAGCCTTACCACCAGCTTTACAAATCTCCACTATCAACGTGAGGCGCTTAGATAGTCATGGCCGAACTCCGTTACTCTCCATGTCAGGTAGGATTTTCTTCCTTGGCAATCACATTAAAAAAAAAAACTCACATAAATTGTATAGGTCTCATGTATTTATCTTATTGTACATTGTTAATATTATTACATAGACCGTTCATTGAAAAAGAAGGACAAAATACCCGTTCATCAAAATCTTCACTCAGCATATGTACCAGTGCTGCTACACGGTGTGTCGATATTGCCGAGAAAATGCATTATCGAGATTTTTTGCTTGTATCCTGGAATTTTGCTATATATCCAGTTTTTACGGCTGCCTTAATTCATATATATAATGCCTCTAACCCCGATAGCATTGTATCTGATGAGGCCAAATCAAATTTAATTAAAGCTACCGGCGTGATTAAACGACTTTCGAAATTATCATCTGGTGCACGACGCTTATATGACGTACTTCGACAATTGATGAGACTCCGAGAGATCACGGTGGATAATAGCGAGCTATCCGACGACACTACCGTAAAAGAAAATAAGCGAAAAACTTGTCATGTTCGTAAGAAGTCTCAAAATACTATCAGTAACAAAAAGGGCAAAAACCGACGTACAAGTAGTATAAAGAATGAGGATTTGGAAATAGATAATGTTATTGGGAAATTATCGGATGTTGGAAGAGGCAGTACGGCAAGTGGTAGTAGATTGTACCTTAACAGGGCTTCTTCAACAGAAATGAATTCTCCTATGCTATCTGATTCTGAAGTAGCAAGTACGCATTCTACGCCTTCTTCCATCGGGAACGGCGAATGGATCAATGGGCTATATTCCCAATTGCAGACCGACAGTAAGTAACACATAAAAATATCCTTCATGCTGGTATTGATTCATCTATTGTAGTGCCGAATGCACAACAACCTTCGCCGCTACCACCTGTGCAGCAACAAGCTCCATTTGATGCCGAGCCTTACTCCTTAAGACAATTTGGTATTAATATGAATCAAATGTACACGCCTATGCAAACACCAGCTATGCCACAGCAATACCAACCCAATATGCAACCCCAACCCAATATGACAAATATGATGCTCCCCACAAACCCTGCTGATAGCTTCTTATTTGGATTAACTGACCTGTCATTCTCCACCCCATATCAGCCTGTCAACAGCTATAACACACTTCCCATGAATAATAGTTACCCTTTACAATCAGCACCATCCCAAGTCCCATCACAATCACAAATATCACCACAATCACAAGTGCCACCACAATCTCAAGTGACACCACAATCTCAAGTACCATCACAATCCCAAATACCATCGCAACAGGGCATGATAGATCATACCCTTTTCAGAAATCGTCCTGATAATCCGTTTTGGTCTGTGCCTAGCAGTATTGAATTGGATGACTGGACAGCATATTTGCTACCTCAACAACCTACCTCTACGTCAAATACACATCCAAGAGACTGGAATCCAGGTTGGGCGTGAAGCCATATTCAGTTTGACTTTTGCTAAATATCCTAAATGCAATCCCAATCTTTTTATCAATGTAAGAAAAAACACACCCGACAAAACAAAAAAAATCGATCCTTATATATATATATGAAATATAACATAATAGAGCAACCCCACACCCGTAAATATTTTTAAAATATATTTTGTACGTCTTATTATCTTTTTGTTAAAATAAAAAAAATTATGTTGGAAAATGGTTTTTTTTTTAAATTGGTTATTAGTAGGTTATTTTTGATTTTACACTGTATTCGGACAGGAATAGCGTTGAAAACACAGGACGTATATTGGATTGAGCTCATTCTTCAGATTGCATTTAAAAGGGTGAAGATGCAGTTTGATAAAGTCATACTGTTGGGAAAGTTTTAAAAACAAATGAAGTTTTTTTTTTTGATAACGACAGGGTTAATTAGTATGAAGGTGAAAGTAGGACTAATCCCATCAATTAGATCACTTACATTTAATTCATTCGTTAATAAGAGTGGTTGAGATGAAAATTATCTGTCCCTGGAGTGATCTGAGATATACGTAAAAGGTCTCGTCTTTGTATACAAATGTTCGCCATATATATAAGTCTCTTGTTGTGCTTGTGTTGATCTCTTGTCCCTTTTTTTTTTATGTGACTCCTAGATATGGGAAAAGCACAATCACTTATTCAACAAAATAGATCTGCATGCATAAAACAATAACATCATTTTAGTTTAAGGTTTTTGCCCTTTATAGTTTAAAGCTAAAGTATATGATTGAGTGAGGAATGGAAAGTAACCACGTATATACCTTTATATTTGATAGTTTATTAAATAAAATGATTCGATTCATTTTATACATATCAGTAAAAACCAAATGCCAATTGCACTCAAGGCTTATTACCCTTTTTTTTTTTTATCCCATGCGTAATATACACTAAATAACTTTAACTTGTCCCTTAATTGGATGCATTACTATCGGATATCAAGTTTATTCTTAGTCTACATGCAGTATGCCGACTTCTAGTGAAATCCAGTAATGCAGTCATAAAGTTTGAGGGAATACCTCTCGGGCTAAGGGCAGCTTAGTGTAATTTTTTTTTTATGACTCGTATGAAGCTCTCAATACCCTTTGCAGTTTGTATAATTGTTATTTTTTTAAATGCCTAAGATGGTAACAGCCAATGCTTTGATGGCCTATCAGGCCATTATGAATGACTTAATTACGTAAACGTTTAAATTATACCCAGTGACAAAAGAGAAATTCCAATAATTCGCATGGATACAATCGAAAGTCAGCAACCTTAACAGCCAAGTTATTTTCTTTCGTGTTAGTAATAGTGAGAGTATCATCTATGTCCACTTGAATGAGCATTATTCCATATGGTAAAATGAACAAATCTGGTATTATGTACTTACTCTGTGGAACAAATTACACGTGAAAATACCAAGATTTTTTTCTTGTTGTGTAAGTAAAGAGGATGAGATATACATATATAAAATTATTCACACCCTATTAAATTTTGTATTAAGAAAAAACAGTAATTATTAAAGGAACTGTGAGTTTTTTTTTTCTATGGAAAATGATATATAAATTAGGGAATGACACGTGTGGTTGGGATGTTACACGAATTAAACCACATTGGAGTGGTTTGTTTCAAGTTTAGTCATGTCTTGACTGTCGGAAACTGTATTTTGATGGGATCGAGCGGTTTTGCGCGCGATCAGGTCACGCACATAATGAATAAGAACCTGAATAAAAAACGCGAGTACAACAATAACAGCTACTGCAAAATAATATGCTGCGGTGATCGGTCCTTGTTTCCAATCCAAAAAGGGGTACACCCAATAGCCGGCGCTACGGTTAAAAAGAGAGTTGGTATATAATCTCTACCCTGCCCATTGTTTTCCTCGACCTACCTTGCATGAACAATAAATGTCAAAAGCATGTAGAGAACCACAGTGAAAAAAACGAATAAAATCATTCGGATAGGAACCTTCATGCGATTGAAAATGACGTCAAAAATCATCAAAAAGAACGATGCGCCATGTACTGAAGCGTTCAGCCAAGATTGCATTGTAGAAACTGGTGTTAATAATAACAACAGAAGAAGAAAAAACAGAATTAGTCATCAGACAAATATCTAATCGATTATACACTCACTTGGTCCGAGGTATCTTGCTAGAATCCCCCAAAACACCACTGGGGTCACAATGCTAAAAATAAATCTCCTGTGTCAATATGTATGTGCGGGATTTTTTTATGTTTATTTTACGTACTTGTTTGTGATCACCGTACAGTAGAGGTACACATAAAGATAATTAAGAACTGCAGGTTGTTTCAAGAATGAGTCGACATTTTTATTTCGAAGGTATCTGATATGGTGCACAGTAGAAGTCTAAAGCAGTATTCTGTTTAAATATAATGTAATATAAAAAGCAGGTTTACTTACAATAAGATATGCATGAAGACCAATAAATGTTAAGTTTGTAAAGAAGGCAAAAAATCCAGTAAATTTTCCGTGGTAGGCATCGAAGCCAATATCTGTCCAAATAACAATGGTTGAGTATAAAGCTAAAAGTGATCGAATTGCAAGGAACACTTTAGGTGAAACCCAGTGCGAGGTCACTGCTGTCTCTGGTACAAATTGATCAAAACCAAACCATCTCAGCACGGCGTAGTTAGATGGTGGTAATTTCTGGTCCTTATAATCCATGTAATGGTTGGGGGAAAAGGAAAAGAAGAAAAAAAAAAAGTTTAATAAACGACTTCCAAAACGGTTAATACCTGGTGTATTCGGACTTACAAAACAATATCACAGTGTGTAACCGAAGGTTTTACTTTTGAAAGTCAATTTTACAGTTAAAAGGTTAATTTTACAGGCCATTAGAATTGTCTGTAAAAAACTTCAAGAAACACCCTTTTAGCCTTCCATAGAAAAACAGTAAATTTAACATATCATTGCCTATCCAATTTCTTGTATTAGATAAAAATTGCACGCAGATGTTAATTAAATAAAGATCAAAAAAGGTAGAAAATAGAAAACCTAAACTACCTTGTCGCCTATCACATTGTCGCTCAGTTAAATAGATTACATGTTGTTTATAACAAATCCTGATTATATGTTAATATTTACGTAAACTGGTATATTATACACACAGCCGTAATGTTTGAATCATACATTAATCATTCAACGTTGTATAAGTAGGCATTTTCAGGCGTAAATACACGAAATTCATTTATAGCGACATGAAATTCTAAACATTGCCCATTTATTCTGACTTTAAAAGAAGAAGATTATTATGCATGGCTTACAAACAAAAAATCCCCTCTTTATTACAACATATATCACATTTGATGGAAAGAAATTTATGGTTACTATAGACAAGGTAATATATAGTAAACGGTTCAAACAAGAGAGCATCAGTTTCGTCTTATCACACTTTTAAACCAGTCTGGATCATGACAAGCTCATTGCATGAGATTTTTTAGACGTGAAATAAAGACAATATTATTTTGCTGTTCAGCTATAAACTTCCCTGAGCATTAAAATTCAAATGGTTTTCTGTTTTTGTTTGGGTAATAATAATACAGACTACGACGAGACTTTTTTATTTATTTTTTGCTTTCATTTAAATTTTGAGAGCATGTCTCTTTCTACTTTTGATATACGGGCTACCATCAAATGGCGTACTGCTATTACAACTACTAGAACTGCCGCTCAAGCTTATAAAGCCTATTTTCTGTTGCTCTTCTTCTTGTGTTAAAGTGGTAGCTGTAATGGATGTACTACTATTATACTGGGTATGCTGTTCGGCCTTTTTTTCGTCGTGGATCAATAAAATTTCTGTAGTTTTGTTTTCATACACTTCTTGTTGTTGTTGTTGACATGAAATGCAACCTTCAACAACGGATATATACCGGTTTCTTGGTTTCTTCTTGGTAAAGACGCCATTTTTACCCCAACCTAGAACACAACCGACAAAAACCATCCAATAAACGAGTATATTTTGAACCAGAGTTGGCCAAATACCACCGTAGAAGGAGGACAGGGCAACCAGTTCACTTGATCTCCATAACCAGTAGACAATCTCCAAGCCCTTGAACCAAGCCATTTCATTTAACTGTCGACGGAATAGCTTGTTTGGTGTATTGACTGCACCTTTTATGTCGTGCTGCATGACTCCCCTACACGTCAGGTCACTAGCATCCGTACCGCGCCATACAACTAGAAAGAAGAACACAAAGATATCGAAAACGATTTGTTCAGTGGCAAACAGCCAGGTATCAGCAATTGGCACCCACTCATTTCCAAAGACCATTCCCCACATGTAAAAAACACCAAAGCGTTCAGCGCTTGTTTCACCTGACGGAATAAAATCAGCCCGGAACCAAGGCAAAGTTAAGAGCGCGAGGATATAAATAAATGTGATGTGCCACACGATTGTTTGATCTTGCGGAAGCTGTAAGAAGCGGAGTGACCAGATCAGAATTTGCTTCTGCAACCTTAAATAACGGGATTTGACAGTAACTTGATCAATAGAATGAATACGCAATAGCAGTCGGTTTAGACGGGCTTTAGATTTGATGTCATTTTCCGATTGAGGTGCATAAAATTTTGGAATCAGCAATAAACACAACATACTTGATATTGTGAATAAAGAAATACAAATCAGCTATAGAATATGGTTAGTAAATATTACTACTATTGAATTTTTAGAATAGTTGTTATATTACCACTGTAGACATTTTGGATTTAATAATAAATTCGCCCGATCCGCCCTTAATTTTGATTCGATTGGTGTCAACACGGAAAACGATATGAGATGTACCCACTTTACCATCTGCAGCAGTTACTTTGATGGACAACTTATGAGGATTTCTGTCCTCATACAGGGAAGCGTCCCAGGGGGCGGCCCACAGGGGATTTTTGGTATCACCTACAAATGTGGCTTGATCTAGATGCAACTTGCCATCAATAGAAATTTTTACAGCAAGATGTTCAGCCGAATGTTCAGAAAATACCAGGAAACGGATATGAGTGCTTTGACGAATACGCCAAAGAGGTTCTTTGGATGGGATTGAGTATCTAGCATCCTTGGGATTTGTAATTAATATAGATGGAGGAGGATGAATGATAGCAGGCCAAACAACCGTGCTGTTTTCTGGATGGATTGGATGAACAAGGCCTAATGAGTTGACGGGACCTTTTTTCGAAATTTGTTTTAAAGGCAGTTGAATATCGACAAAGGAAATCAAATCATGGTCCACTGCAACTACTCTGTAAAGTCCGTGCTCCTTCATATCACCTAATTCTAATTCAAGTGATTTGGTGACAGGGTCATATGATTTTAATACATCACCTAAACCTAAAAGTGTGTGTGCGTGTGTGATGAATAAACTCAAGTGACAACATTATTTGTTATTTTTTTTACAAAAAAAAAAAAAAAAAAAAAAAAAAAAACTTACCGGCTATCAACTTATGAAGGTGACCACAAAAGTATATGCTATAATGACTTGCTAAATCACGAAACGTTCTGCCCTTATTCGAAACACCAAATACCATAGTAGACGTAGGATAGTGCGAAAACTATATGAAACGATTTAGGATTTTTAAGATTGATAAATAATAACAATAAAAAAAAAAAAAACTTACCACAAAAGTATGGTTAAAGGGCTTATAAGTTAATGCCCTTTCTAACTGATCCATTGTTTTTGAAGTAAGATAACCAAAAAAGTTTAAAGGTCTCGATGGTCCACGTTTAGGGCAAGCATCAATAGCAACAAACTGGTATTCTCCCATGGGTTGATTCACCTGCCATGAATAAACTCCTTTTCCCTGTTCGACTAAGCCGGCGCTTTTACCATGCGTGCGATAATAATTAACCCGTGATTGCCATGACGGCAAGTCAAAGCAATCATGATTTCCTCGCATATCATACCAATCCACATCGACCTTTTCTTCAATTGCCTTTTGATAGACTTCCCATTCATCAACGTATTGTTGAGAAGTTACTTTTTTCTTATCTTTGGCGTCAGTTAAATCACCTGTAACAACAACGAATTGTGGTCTAACGTAAGAAAAAGAAAAAAGAAAAAATAGGGTTAGAGTCGGAGAATATGAAGGTTGTTACTTGTTTTCTATAAAATGCTTTTTTACTTGACAACAGGTATGATCGATTGAATAAAATGTAAGAAATGATGCGTATGCCCTTTCGGTCTAAACCTTGACAAGTGAAGATCTGTAGCCTATTTATAAAAAGAATGAAAAAAAAAGGGGAGCAAAAGTATAAGAAAGACAATACAAGGAAGAAGAATGATATTCGTTTACATGTAAAAAATAGAATATATTATTTGTTTCTGCGCCTAGAACGATGGAATCATTTTTTAGTTTATTGGGTATTGGTTCGGTTAAAGCAGTTTTCTTCTTCAGCCAGGAATGACCATCTGTTGATCTCAATTCTCGAGTCGATGACCAATATAATTGAAATGCTCGTAATGAGCAAAGTATAGTAATAATAACACAAAGGACGCCTTTTTTATTCATTTAAACAAACAAAGCAGAAGAAGAAAAGAAGAAAGAAAGAAAGTATTGACACTTGTGTTTTTATATGTTTTTTTTTTGTTTACATATATACAGGTAATACTCCTTTTTTTTCTTTTTTTTTTTTCTTACTATTGACCTATGATCCTGTTCAACTCTTGATTACAACACGTGTGTGGGCCGGAAGTAAAAATCTCCCTTACCACCTTTTGACTTGAAACATCAAGAATTATCCAGTAATTTTAAACAACATATTTAGCATGGACGTACATTAAACGAAACTTTTTCCTTTTGAATTGAACGGAAAACAAATATTTAGCGTAATAAAAGGCGAGAAGCCGGGATTTCTATATTTGTTTGTCTGATTATAATCAACCCGTTTGTGTATTAATCTACAAGCATGTGAATATTTCTCTCTTTCTTTTTTGACAAGATTCACAATTCTTCCTTTTCTCAAACAGACAGAAATACATGAAAGTCCGTTTTAAACAAAAGAATAATAATCCGTTTCAACTTTTTCTTATGTGGCAATGTTTCAATAAATGGTAACACCTTTTTCTTTTTATTAAATCGACATGCGCCATTTGGAATCGTATTTGTTATGAGCAAAAAAAGATAAGCCTGGAAATGTAACCGTAATACAGAGCTTCGACAGTTTGTCTGATCGATAACCTGGCGAAACCATATACCCGCTTTTTTTTTTTTTATGACGTGTTTTTTTCGCCACTCACACAAACCTCAGCACCTCAGTTTAAAGGTGCCCTAGGCTTCTCCTTGATTTTGTCACTGTATCATTCACATTAATTACATTCATGCCATTTCTTTTTTTAATTACTGAATCTCCCTTTGATGAACGCAGGAGATAATCATTGATGAAGCCCTTTCTTTTTTAATAAAAAATAAAGTATAAAAGCTTGACATAGTTTCGTATAATTTTTTTTTCTTACTATTATCTTCATATTCTCATATATCCTTCACAATGCGCTCATCCATTATTTTTTTTATTGCTCTTGCCACCTTAATGATGACTTTGGTTCATGCTCACACTGAGCGATCTGGTACTCCTCAACAATCTGGCTTACGAATCAAAAAGAGAGGATCCCCTTATGGCCGAGGTGGCCCTTCCAGACAGTCAGGACAACGTGCCCAAGGACCATCTAGAGAAGTAAGACCACAGGGCAAGCCAGCTGCCGGTGGTGGTGGTGGTGGTCCCCTTGCTATCCTTGGTGGTGGTGGTCTTCCTATTGTTGGGAATGTTATTGGACTTTAAAAATCTTTTTCAAATAATTTCATATTTTTAATAAACTTTTTCATGCTGCATTTACATAAATAACAAAAAAAGGCAGATCGCCGTGCATGTGAGATGCATGTTTATTTTATTTTATTTTGCTTAGAAACAGCATGTTTACATGGATGAGAGCTTAGATAATTAACAATTGTCAATTCATCTAAATAAGGTAATTTAATTTGACGTGTTGAATGCTCCACCAATAAATCTTCAAAAAGGGTAAACGGTGTTTCAAAAATGAGGCACAAATTATTACTTTGTTAAATATCTGAAAGACACATAAAATAAGACTGTAAACGCTCCTGCAAGGCCTATGGAATAATCTTGCTTTGGGTAGATTGAAGGATGTATTGTGCATACTGATCATCTGAAAATAATATCAAGAAATGCCAACGTGTTCAATTGAAATAAAGGAGAATCGTATTATTGTTTAAAGCACTACACTATTCCTAATACTTATAAAAACTTGAGAAAGGCACCTTACACAACCAGCATTCTATTTTTTTTTTCATATTGAAGATTCATTTATAATGGATTTCTTCGTTTTTTTTCTTAAAAAAAAATCACGCATTCTATTAAATCATGCGACGCAAAAGTAGGATCCTTTCTCATGTCTTGCTAGGATCTTCATAAAGCATATTCGTGTCTTAAAATAAGCTTATATACTGTGTGAAGCTAGTTTGTTAATATTTTATAGAAGATAAAAGAGTCTTCTTACTGCTGTTAATCCACTATGCAACCAATCACTCAATTGGTGTCTTTATCGCAATAAAAAAAAAAGCTCTACATATAATAAGCTTAGAAGTTAAGATTGTTACTCATTTTGTCAATGACGCCACCATAGTACTTATATTAATAAACGCTAGTGCTCATAATACCGGGTCAGCGCTCATAAGTCAATCGGGTTGGGACACTTTTTCAATTAACCCTTGCGCAATCACTCCTAAAAAACCCCTATCTTATTTTGTATTGGTATGGTGGCAGCTGTTGTAGCTCATGACAGTGAGGCGCTGCTAGTGCCTTATCGTATTGATTTCAAGGGTAGTAGATATCTACCTGTAAATAATTCTTTTTGTAGTGATATCTACATTACCAATGTCTCGGGTCATACAGTCTTCCTGTATTAGTCTTTTATAGGTGTACTTCTCTCGTTATCCTTAACTCCGCTACAATTGATGATATGGACTTCATTGACTCCATTTCGACGGGTCCTTTTATCCAAAAATACCAGTACTTTATAAAAAACCTGCTGTGAACTTGAATATAACTACGATGGATTTCTTGATTTGTCTGATCTGACGATATCCTTCGCATACCTGAATAAATCGAGAGCGATTTTTAATTGTGCTATTCTACATGGAATATAATCTTGACCTTCTTTAAATCGTAATTTATAATAGCCTAGTGAGTCTGAATTGAAATTCTTGATACCTAACCCATCTGATCATTATTTCTAGTGAAATTCATAATGTCAGTACCTATATTAGTGTTATTTATTTGCTCCTCAATCTCATAACATGATAGGAGTAGTCATGATTATGTCCGTGCTCAATAATTCCGTGCCCGTATGACGAACCGTATATGCTGCTTTTTCGAAGGTTATACTAAATAGCATATTGTGGACTTGCAATGATTTTACTTGACGTATGCCCCCCAAGTTTCCCAATTTATGTCTGCATGGCGTAACGAAGCTTTATTATGTGGAACTGTGAACGTTTGCCCAAGATCGAACACAAGGGTGCAGACAGGATTATCGGTTGTTTAATGATAAAAAAAAAAGGTATATTTTCAAGAGGAAGAGTCTTCACCGCTACTGCTGCTATATTGCATTAAATTGTTGCATTCTTCACAAAACCATTTGCCCGCGGGCGGTTCTATAAGACCAACACAGGCATAATGAAACCATTCCCTCTCACACTAAGAAAGATTAAGTATGGGGTGAAATTGAGTGTAGGGAGAGTTACTTTACGTTTTCACCGTCACAGGCGATCATATCACCAAAAGAAACTTGACCACAATAACAATAGGTAGGCTCATTTGGATCGATATCACCACTTGTACCAGTTGATGTTGAATGACCGATCAGAGGGTTCGGGCGGGACGAATGATGAATTCTGTGTGGTATCAGTTTATGTATATGTATAAACAGGAAAGAATGCAAATCTCTACCTTTTGCGAATGCCACCATCCAGTCTCTTTCTCTGAGGTCCCTTTCTGATCCAGTCAGACTTGTTTAGATTACTCTTTGTCATGACCTGAGAATCTAACCTCTCAATGTGTCGTGACACAAGGTCGTACATTCTCATGGCTAATTCAATTTTCTGATCCTGTTTTTGCATGGCCGTCTTATAATCTTTCTCCAACTGCAATCGAGCAGATACCATGGCAAGCGTATCGGTTGATTCTAACGCTTTGGACTGCTTAATGTAAGACCGTTTATGTCTTGTGTATGTCTCTCGGAACTCTTTTTTAAGAACAAGTTAAAGAAAAAGTGCAATGCATATAGAATATACTTTACTTTGTAGATCATCATCCATTCGTCTTAACTCATGCATATTTTGATCGATTTCAGATGGCAAGTTTTGCAAACCTATTCTTAGAGTTAGAACTCTGTTGAAATAAAATCGAGAATTCGTTTTACTTTCTAAATAATCTTCAAATATATCAGCTACCGATAAACTCATTGTGAGAGAAAAGAGGGGGGGAAAGGGGAAAGAAGAACGAAAAAAAAAAAAAAAAAAAAAAAGCTTATTTTTAAAGGTCAGTGACGCTTTTTTCTAATTATTTTTATGCGTCGGTTCATTTTATTTTAGTTTTACTCTTCATCGTCAGAAGCATCGTCTTCACTGTCAGAATCACTGTTGGAATCAGACTGACTATTTGACTCGGAATCTTCAGCGACCTCCTTTATCGACACCTTCTTTTTACTGCTGTTTTGCTCTTCCTTTGCTGAGAATTTCTTTAAAATTAAGCCAGACTTGGCACCAAAGGATTTTTCCCATTCCAGCTTGACGCTCTTATAAAGTTGCATTGTGAATCTAGCATCCTCCACAGATGAATGAGATCCTGATTGAATGGAAATGCCCAACACTTCATTAACCAACATTTTCAAACCAGGAGTTCTGCCCTTTGCTAATTTACGGAAAGGCTTATAACGAGAAGTATCGCGAATTAACAATGCTGGATGAGAGATCATGAGCGCTTGTAAATCGTTATAAACAGCATGACCGACCAAGATACGTCCACGAATGATTGCCTCTGCCTTGAACTGTGCGTCTTTAAATGATAAAGCTTCCTCTGACTCTAAATGTTTTGCCTCGATACCACTGACATGTGTACGATAGTCTGTTACTTTTTCTTGTGGTTTGACATAGATATCTAATAACACTGCACCGTGGAAGTTCACAAGTGACACACGAGCCAATGCTGAGTCGGTTCCTTCAGGTCCAACACCCACCATTTCACAATCGATGGCAACGTATTTACCTAATCTTGCTTGATCGCCTGTAACTGCATTCATTTTGGCTACCAAACTCTTCTTTTTCAACTTTTGTTCTTGGGGTGTTTCCTTGTGTGCATACACGTTCTTCAAGTCATCTTCATCGACATCCTCTCCAAACCATAATTCATCTTTGTCGGGTATCGTTTCTTTGGTAGTGGTAGTGGTGGTGGTGGTGGTTACTGTCTTTTTAGCAATGTGAGAAGCCTTCATTTTCCTGTGCTGCATGTTTTAGTTTCCCTTTTTCTTTTCTTTTTTCCTGCGGCAGTTGTTACTTACTCAATTCTTTGTCTCTTATCCCAACACTTGAAATTAGGACTGATTTCGAAATCGTCAGCAGCCTTTCTCTTTTTCTTTGAATCGGCAGGAGCAATTGTCTAGTATCGATCTGTCAACTACTGTGTCAAGTTTCTTCGATCGTAAATTTACTTACAGGTAAAAGCTTCTTCCAGTTAGAAGAAGCGACGGGCTTGGTTGATTTCTTTCCTTTGGCCATTGTGTGTATATAGAAGAAAAAGAAAATTCGAGAACTGATAAAAAAAAAAAAAAAAAGTATCTGGAAAAAAATATACAGGTGGCTTTTTATAAAAAGAAGCATGCGTCGTTTCAAATATTTTTTTGTTCACATTTTTGACAGTTAACACTTCCTCTCATTAGCCTTGATTCCTAATCCTTTTTCAGTGTGATACAAGTATAGGGTTCAATTGAAGTATCAAACTTTGTCACTATAAACAACTTTTGGGTCCATGAAGCCCATCAGTCGGAGTTTGTGGCTGCTGCAAGTTGGAGAGCATCAGCAGCATGAACATGGATCTTTATAAAACAGAATAACGTACAGATACGTCAACGCATCTAGAATCATAAATCTCATCGTGTGATTACAGTGTAAAGTGCTGACCAACTACAATGAAATCTGTATCATCAACATGTGTCTGAAAAAAAAAATCAAGTATCGAATTGAAGTGGTGCACTCCCAGTCAAGTAACACAAAGCCAACAAACAGCATGTTGCTTAACCACCTGATTATAAACAACAGCATCTGATTGACAAGCTCGGACTACCAAATCACGTTACAGTATGTCATTATTATAAAAACGTATGCAAAGAAAAAAATGTTTCTTTTTCTTCTTCATCATGTTTACTAGATATTTGCTTTTACTGCTATTTGCTCCCTTGATATATTATCCTGTACAAGGTGACATTGATCTTGATCAGTGGATTTCAAAGCAACATAAAACAAGTTTTGAAACGATACTTGATAATATCAATCCACCCGGTACTAAAAGGGGTTTCTTTGCTGCTTCCTTGTCAACACATCAACCTGATTATTTCTATACATGGACAAGAGATTCAGCCTTAGTTGCTCGTGTGCTCACTTCTTTGCAAGAGACCAATGATACCTTGTTGCATGATTATGTCGACTTTCAAATGGATGTACAAAAGACAAGTACGCGTTGCAATTGTCTGGGTGAACCAAAGTTCAACAAGGATGGATCAAGTTTCAAAGGTACTTGGGGTAGACCTCAAAATGATGGTCCTGCAGAAAGAGCCATCACATTTTTCTTGATTGCAAACCGATGGCTAGACAACGGTTACAAAGACACGCCTTGGATTCATGATACTCTTGTACCGGCTATTATTAGGGACTTGGATTATATTAGCAAAGTATGGTATCAACCTAGTTTTGATTTGTGGGAAGAGGTATTAGGTACACATTTCTTTACCCTAATGGTTATGCGTAAAGCCTTGTTGGATGGCATTGATTTCTTTAAATTATCCAATCGTAACGTCGAGGAATACAAGCTGGCTAGTCATCTTATTGGTAAGCGAATCGAGACATTCTGGTCAGAACAGCATAACTACATTATGGCTACTCAGAACGTTCAGAATGGTGTGCAAAAGCCATCGGGTTTAGATGTGTCTACATTGTTAGCTGCTAATATTATCGCCAGTAGAAATGATGGTAATAATAATTTGGGCAATCATGGGTGGAATGAAATCGAATATTGACCATTTTAAATTGTAGGATTTTTTACACCTGGGTCTGACAAGGTTTGTTTATGGTTTTATTAATCTTTAATTTATATTAAATGACAAATTACAGATGCTGGCTACTGTTGTTGCGTTGGAAGAGTCATTTGAGCCATTGTATCCCATTAATAGTCAACAGAGTGACGCACTAGGTACATGCATTGGCCGTTACCCTGAAGATATCTATGACGGATATGATACATCTGTCGGAAATCCTTGGTTCTTGGCTACAGCTGCTTACACCGAATTATATTACTTGGCAATTGCAGAATGGGAGAAGTTAGGTGTTTCGGTAAATAGTATAAATAGACGGTTCTTTCAACGAATCATGCAGGTGGATGATGGATACTATTCACCCGAAAGTGCAACCTTAAAAGAGATTATTAAAAAGACAACACATGCAGCAGACAAGTTTTTGAAAACGATCCAATTTCATCAAGCTCGTAATGGATCCATGTCAGAACAGTATGATAGATATATTGGGTTTATGGCTGGAGCTAGAGATTTAACTTGGTCTCATGCAGCATTTATTACTGCATCCAAAGCCAAAGATAGTCATTTGATTCAATAAAAAAAAAGAGTGTTGATTTTATTATTATTAGTATTATTAGTGTTAAAAAAAAAAAAAAAAGAAAAAGAAAAAGAAAAAGGAAATGTGTGTCAAGATAATGATATAGTGGTAGAATGCAGGAATAATATAAATGATCAAACAGAAAGGAACCAGCCCTAATTTATTGTTGAGAGTCATCAACTTGATGAGTAGGACTAGGGATCTTTCTTCTGCCCCAACAAGGTAGCTTTGTTCATATTCAGTTCAATAGATTGTGTTGCTTATTTGATTGACCTTCTTTTCGCTTACTGGGGCTGATTCATTGATATTCATCACATCAATTTTATCTTTTAAATCATGTACAGTGTCTTCTTCACTGGTCTGACTGGAAGAAGTTTCATCCGTTACTAAATCTATCTCATCCTCCGTTATATCATCGTCATCCCCATTAACAGCACTCATAAATAGCGATCTGCGGTTCTTTGAGGTATCTCCTGATTGTTAATATTCTTTCTACGTTGTTTTCCTCTGTCATACGATGCACAGCATAAGAAATATCAAACATTTCCTTCATGGAGGACACACCAGAGAATAAATCTCGACGGGGAGTAGTTGTACCTGAAGCTCCAGTGATGGATGGTGCACGTGAATTTGCGCGTGAGTTGGCACGAGAATTAATCACGGATGCTGACATACCGGATGGGAAAGGGACAGCTGCTTCTAATTCTTCCTCATCTCTATTGCGTTCTTGAATCATGCGTTTAAATTCTTCTGCTTCTGTTTCGGGGTGAGGAGGTACACCTACGTTTTCCACCAATGCTGTAAACATGGGTACTGAAGTCAAATCAATGGGTAAATCGCTTGGTGTTGTTCTAGCAATAATGGCTTCCGTATCGATATCCGACATTTCCTGTTAAATAGAGTATGTTAATATCAAAAGGGGAGGAAAGAGAGAGGTGTGTATGTATGTTATATAGGTACCTTGTTTTTGATCCATGGATGTTCAGGAATTCTAAAATAGTGTATCTCTTTTCTGGGTCAACATGAAGCAAGTTTTCTATTAATCCTTGCTTCATCCGAAATTGTATCCCACCAGGGGCCTCAAGAATGTGTATTGCCCTTTGCGACTTTTTCGGTCAATACCTTATACTTTCATCATAGAATGGAGGAAATCCACACAGGAAGGTATAAAGAACACAACCCAAAGGCCACATATCAACAGATTTTGAGTAACGTTGGTCCTTTACAATTTCTGGTGCAGTATAACCCACTGTACCACAAGGTGTCATGGTTTGTTGATCCCAAACTACTTTGATAAACCAAAATCTGCTATTTTTACATGTCCAATTCCACCGCCACCAATACCGGCTACGAACTGGCCTTCATCTTCTTTGGGTCATCAAATTCAGGTGGAGGGTAATGGTTGTATCTCTTTCGTTTGAATCGATTGGTACAACAATAAATTCTCTGGTTTAATGTCTCTATTTAATTGTGTATGCATTTAAATATACGTGTATATTATTTACGCAGCGATGAAATATGTACCTGTGACAACACCCTTTTCTTCATGTAAATATCGAATACCTTCAGCTACTTGACGAATACAATGACGAGCAAGATCTTCACTGAAATACGTAAGACGAACAATTTGATGAAAAATTTCTCCGCCTTCACAAAGTTCCAAGATAAGGAAGTAATGCTAATTAAAAATGTTGGTTTTTTTTTTTATTGTTATTATTACTGATTTCTTTTTTTACCTCTTTTGTCTCTATGAAATGGAGTAATTTGATTATAGAAGGGTGATCCAAGTCCTCATGATTTGTACTTCTTTTAATACGCTTGATTTCTATGTTATTTGATATTTTAGCTATTTATCACAAGTAATATGTAAGTTTTTACCTGTTGATTATTTAATTCTAATTTGCGAACAATTTTTATTGCTACTTTTTCGTTTGTAGACAGTTGAACAGCTTCGTATACTTTTGAGAAAGCACCACTGTATATAAACAGAGTGTTAGTTCTTCATGAACAAAATTTCGGGGTGAAATGAACCTACTCGCCAAGTTAGACTTTAAAACATAGTCTTCCAGTCCTCCATAAGTTGGCATGGTCTGCTTTGCAATCTTCTCTCTCTACCATACGAGCTGCTGTCTCATATTTTTGTGTTGTCGACTGTCGAGATATGCTTGAAGAAGAAGTGCTTTTTCCACTTTTGATGAAGTTCTTGAGTTGACTAAAGACAGCCATAGTGTTGTAAAATAAAAAAAAAATTAACCGAAAAGGAAAAAGAAGAAAGAAATTGTGAAAATTGAACCTTTTGTCTGTGTATTGAACCCAACTTTGAATGTCCGGCGTGTTTTAGTTGTATTTGAACCCTTATTATTATTACCTTCCCAGGCACATTACACCATTGAAATTCAACTAGAATTAACAAAGAGTCGGGTCCCTTTTTTTTTTTTTTTCGCTGAATATTTATTGACCTTGAATTTATCATTAAACTCTATTTTATCATTTTTTTTTACCGTTGTTGTTTGTGCACGCATTAAAATACCCCATCTTTTTTTACCATTACACAACCTGTGACCATATGAAGCACTTTTTTTCTTCTTTTTTCTCTCTTTCTTTTTTTTTTACTCCGTTTTCTTTCTTTTCTGCACTAGCCCCAAACCTTAAAAAAAAAAAAGGTAGAATGACAGAGCCTGATATTCATTGCAATGTTGTTAAATGTAGAAAACCTCTCTCTGCTGAGCAGCGGGTATGTAAGTACATACAGACCTACAATTACAGTCTTAATCATAATCATGACAGGCCTGCGTTACCTCTTGTTCGCGTATGAATGGATATTATTCTGTGACATGAATTGTTGCTAATTGGAAAGTTTCCCTTAGACGTTTTTTGTGAAAGCTGCGCAAATTCCTCATTTTCAAAGGAGCTGATATGTCCGGCTTGTCACACTACTCTGTCTGAAGGAAGGTAAAGCTTGTCTTGTACTCCCTACCACATCAATATACACTAATTTATTAAAATAGTGACGATATCATCATTAACAACTGAATCCGACAGAGGATAAATCGGTAAAAAAAAAAAAAAATCTCGTCATTGTGGCCCATGACTAAAACTTTTAAGAAGTCTGTGCTTGCAGGTTTGAAGCCAGACATAATTCTGGATGTTTGTGCTAGGGCAATTGCTTTTTATGAATATCAAACTTCGCAAGAACTGGCCTTCAGGGCAGTCATTCAAAAGAGCACCCAAGAAAAATATAACGAGTTGAGAAACCAAAGCGAATTAATGCAACGGGATTGATTCATGATTAAAGGTTAAAGCTGTACATATAAACATGGAACACATGGACTAATTTTATATATAGTTGAGAGAGAAAAACAAAAAGGTAATTAAGGTACTCCTGCCGTCTTTATTAATTGCGGCACTTATATTTTTACATAGCGATTATAAATGACTATGAAACAGAAAGAAAAAATCGCAACAAAATATTCGAAATTAGAAGACAAAACAAAACAGTTTCAAAAGCTACAGGTCTATATGTCACTAGCACGTTATATTTGGGACATCTATTAACAGGATTTAGACATGTACGAAAGGTTAAAACGAAAAACAGTTGGCCCCAACATACAGTCCACGTTTACAAATCAGCCTCCTCGTCCTCCAATGAACCGTGCAGAACCCATGATTTACAATCCCATGAGATTTAATAATCAACAACAAACAGACGAGGATGATATAATTTCTAGGATCGGAAGAAGTTCTTCTACAAATAGGTCGATATTTGTACCGCCTCCTCAACAGTCTACTAGAATTTATCCGAATAGAAATAGCCCATCACGAATTCCATCACTGTGAAATCTATTTATTCTGTGCGTAGTCATCGTCCAAAGTACTATAAAAACGTATAAGTCCCACTATTTCACGAACTTAGACACCTCCCCTCCCCTCGCCATCCCGTGTACTCCATTGGTGTTCAATCATTCACTGATGCATATGATCGTTTATTTCCATTTAAAGGAATTTGATTTGCTGCACCCCCATATATTTAACTCCAATTGAAGTTCTTCCTTTTTATTTCTATAAGCGTAAAACATTTTACCGCTTTCTTCCCGCTTAATAAAAAGTATCAAATAATCCCACATCAATAAGATGATCGAAACGTGATTATCACGTGATTTTTTAATTTTTGTAAAATACTTTATTATTTATACTTTTTTCCGTTGAAAAATTGTGGTTTCGTGATGTAATTGGTTAGCATGTAAGACTCTGAATCTTGCCATCCGAGTTCGAGTCTCGGCGAGACCTTCTTTTTATTTTTTTTTTATTGAATGTAGGTACGTAGCTGGTTGTTTCTGTCAAAAATACAGCACTAACTAACCTGAGGAAATCCCTTCAATTGACATATGTCTTTAATAAGGTAAGCTTCTAAGACCTTATCCGCATCAATTATGCTGGCTGTTTTGGTTCAGAACTGTAGTACAAGCAAAGACATGAACTGTTTAGAAATTTGTGTGAACGTCTTCTATTCATACATTACAGGAATGATCTTAAGAGTAAATTGGAGTTAGAAATGAGCACAAAAGCATGTGGTTTTAGAATTAAACATGTCCAACTATCAGTAAAAAGAACGTTCTTGAATATTCAGCCCTGATTCAATAAGAATATAAGCAAGATATATACAGACATTTTTTTTTTTTTCAATTTTTGAATTCCTCTGTACAGGTTCAATCGGTATTACTTTATTCTAATATTTATTTGTGTTTTTTTTTCAAAAGAATACGAGGTAGACTTTAAAGATCCAACTTCATAATGACAAAACCAACAGGCAGAACTAATTTTTTGCCTTCAGGTGCTTAAATGCGCGACGCTCATTGGTGTCCTTAAACCCAACCTTTGTGTACCAAGCCAAAATTTCAGGTCTGTTCTCAAAGACTCGGATCGAACAGCGTTCATATCCTTGTTCCCTCATTACTTTAAATGAGCCTTCAATCAAAAGACGGCCCAATCCTTTAGACTGATGATCAGGGCTGACAGCAAATCTCGTAATCATGGCTTCACCAGGTGTAGGCAGTTCCTGTAAATCAGGAAAAGGCACAATCATAAGTGTACCCACCACATGGGCGTCGTTACCCTGATCGTCTTTTCGAAAGCAAATAGTTGGGTGAGCTTATCAGTCTTGACACTATCATAAATGAATTGTTCGGTGTCGCTTTATCTGTCAGTTTTCCTTGAACAATACTAGCTTCAGTGGTCCAGCCATCTAATAAAAGTATAAAATTAGGATATTGATATACGTTACATCATTTGTCAATGTGCTTACCGTGAGTAGTGTATGCAGAGTTATACACATCGGTACCCTCTTGGGCAAATTTAATATCTTCCAGTGTTACTTGGCGTACGTAGTAGCTGATGGTCATAATAGTATAAATAGAGTGAAGAATAGAATAGAGAGAAAAAAATTTACTTCTTTTTTTTATATGACACATTCGTCGTAATCTTTTTTCCACGACTGGGATTCAAAAGCTACTGCCGGTTTATCGGAGACTCACAATTCGCTCTATGACTTCCACATTATGTGGCGTAAGATAGCAAGAAGATCTTGCCTGATCTAAATAACAACTGCCTACATATTTCTGTAGATATACCATATGTTATATTACTAGAGCCAAGTTCAGAAGTAGCAACAATTGAAAGGTTTTTACTTCAATAGTTTGATGGGTGCTCAGATTCTTACTTACTTTAATATAGAACTATCTTGAGATGAACCCATTCAATACCAAGTCATAATTGATTTTGTATTTTTTTATATAGATAAGGTAGAGTCTGCATCAAGATCCGCTCACTCTTGTCAGAAGGATTTTAATAGATGTGCTTATGTAAAGTAAGTATAGTAAATCAAAGATGATCTTTATTGAATTATAGTTTTGTGAAATGGTTATATCTAAATTGAAGTTGTACAGAGCTTAGTCTAAAATTATATCTGACACTCTGTTGTATCAAAATTAAATGTGTTTATTTGAAGACCTCCCTCACATTTGAGAAATTTACTACATACACCACAATATAAAGGAGAATAAAAGAAACGCTCCCGGGTGGGCTTGAACCACCAACCTCCTGATTAACAGTCAGACGCGCTAGCCAATTGCGCCACGGAAGCTGTTCATGTCTGATGCGTGCGCAGTTTGGTAATGATATCGCTTTCGTTCACTTTAAAAGTGGCTTGGTAATATTATTTTGGTTATTCTTCTTTGTTCCTTGGTTCTGGTTCCCTCATTTGTGGAATGGCGCGTTAATCTTGTCTGAGAAATGGAGATCTAGTTGGTACTGAGTTTGGCGGTGAGAAAAGAGTTTCTAAAAATACGTGATAAAGACCCGACAAATAATATTGCGGTGAAACTATTTTTGGTGTTCTAGAAGTTTTTCTGGTATTCTTTCTCCGAAGGTTCAGTTCGCGTCTTTTTGCTGCTTTTCTAAAATTGGCAGGTTGTTAATTATCTTAGTCGGTTACTCGTGAAATTCTCTTCTTTCTCAGTTACAATTATTTTTATTGTTATTTCGTCGCTCTCTCTCGTATCTCACTTATTTTATTATTACCTTCCTGTTTTGTTTAGTTCTTTATTTTTCTTATTATTCATATTATTTCCATCATAGTTTTCCCGTACCCTTATTTGATTTACTCTATTTTTGTATTGTTCTCATCATAGTTTTTCCGTACCCTGTTATTATTTTATTCCATTTTCGTATTAGTTATTTTTGTACCATAGTTGACAGCTGTCAAAACGTCTATATAAGATTGTCTGATTTATAATAATAAACGTCATCGAATTCTTTCTTTCTGATAAACTTTACTTGTTTTTAAACACTTGTGATTTATCTTTACTTCTTTGCAGATTTCAAAGCTTATTAGTGCAAATCTATATCTTTTTGTCTGTATTCTTTAACAATTAGTCTTACAGTCTCCTTCTTGTTATTCTATACATTTGTTTATTCTTATTACTCTATACAAGGTAAACATAAAGACAATCAGATTCATTTCAAGTGGTCCGATCTACCAGAGAAAGTTTATTAAATACAAGTAATTAGGTGCTCTCTACAATGGCTCAAAAATCTGGTTCTGATACTTTAACTACGAAAAAGGGCTTTAACTGGCGTGTTAGTGAACCGCGTAGCTTTTCTGGCGTTTCTGTTTCTGGTGAAGACTTGGGAAATGTGGCTTATACTTGGCTCAAGAAAATGGAGCGTTTGAAGGTTTCTGCTAAGCTTACGGATGATGAAGTTCTTTTCCTCGTCAGTGATCATTTGGTTCAAAAGGCTGAAACTTGGTTTAATGTCATTGGTGTCAAGGCAAATTCTTGGGATGAATTTACTACCTTATTCAAGAAACAATATTTGGCTGACCAAGAAGATAAATGGTGGAGTCAACTCCAGAACATGAAGCAAGGCGAAGGCGACAGTATTGATGATGTTGCCTTGAAGATGGAAGAACTTTTTGAACTTTTGGAGAATAAAAGTGATGCCTTCCAGATTCGTACGTTCTTGTCGGCTATTCGTTCTGATATCGGTTTTGAGGTAGAAAAGGACGGTACTCCTAGTTCTTTTGAGGGTGCTAAAATCAAGGCCAAGCAAGTTGAGAAGAGTCTCTTGAAATATAATTTTTCTGGTCGTACTGCTGTTTCTGAGAAAGGTCTTTATAAACCTGAGCCTTCGATTAGGTCAAGTTTTTCCGATGTCTCTTCTGTGGCTAGTTCCGACGTCCATTCTTTGGTGGCTAAACTTGAACAGCTCAGTATTAATTTGGTGCGTTTGAATGAAGGTGCTGCACAAGGTCAACCTAAACCTTTCGTCTCCTACAATAGCAACAATGGTAATAATGGTTCTCGTCCTGTCTTCACTTGTTTTTATTGTCGTGAAGTTGGTCATAAGAAGTATGATTGCCCCAAGTTTTTGCGTGATCAAGGTCAAGCTCCTGCCTCTAATCCTGCTACTGGTAGTAATAGTATTCCTTTGGGTAATACTGCTGATTCTTCTGCCGAGTCGGGAAAAGAGAACGAGCATCAGTAAATAATGAGGTTACTGATGTTCCCAAAATAAATAAAAATCCTCTAAATTCTCAAGAAGTCCAACTGGTTGATACGGTGGTCGATGGTGCTAAGGAAATTTTGGCGAATGAAATTTTGACCAATGGTGTCAAACGAAGGGCTATGGCGCCTCCATCTGTTGAAGCTATGGCTGGATCCTCAAATCGTAAGGTCGTTAGTTCTGGGTTTCAAAAGCAAGTCAAGCGCAAGACTAGGAATAAGGCTAGGCGGTACCCTGTTAAATTAAAAAGGTCAAAAATTTGGTCTAAGCTTTTAGGAACCGAAGCGGGAATATCTATGGCGGAGTGGTTATCTTTGGACAAGGAGGCTGCTGCTGAAATTATTGATGGTATTAGGTATCTTCGCGAATCTAAGGTTGTTGCTAGGAATAAGTCTGTTGGTGTAACAGATAAGGTCATTGCTGGTTTGAAGGATTTACCTGGTACTAGTGCTCCCATGGAAGTCAACGAAGTTGATATCGATGATGATTTTTCATCTATTGCTTCTGATGAAGACTATGGTGTTGTTTCAAGTCGTTCTACCAGCTCTGATGTCATGCAGTTATCTGAAGATGAAGGTGATTTGGAGTTTAGTGATGCTGAATCTGTCTATCGTTACCCGTATGATTTACAGAAGATGAAATCTAGTTCTCCTCTTCGTGCCATGATTTCCATTAATGGCAAATTCATCGAGGCGGTGTTCGATACTGGTGCGTCTGTTTCGATTCTGGGATCGAAGGTTTGTGCTGCTGCTGGTCTTGTACCAAATGGTGATAGTCTACATCTTATTGGATTCAACCAAGATCAGGTTCCTAAACCTTCAAATGTTGTTATGGATGTACCGGTTGAAATAGGTGGTAAAATCAGGCCTGAGCACATGGCGGTGCAAGATGGTTCTGAAATTTGCTTGTTGGGTGTCCCATGGTTTCAAGCGTATGGTGTTTCTTTGGATTTGGTTCACTCCCAAATAAGGGTGCCAACCTCGTCTGGTATCATCAAGGTTCAAGGTCGTACTTCTCATGTAAATCGTATGCCCTTCAAGTCCAAACAGGAGCAAGAAATCTATGTTGTCGCGGCTAGCCAAAAGTATTGTAGTACTTTGGAGGATGACTTGATCCCTGGTGATGAGAACAACAGTACTGATGACAAGAAGGTTCTGGAGTATAACGCCGACAATATCACCGAAGGTGTTGATGAAGAGCTACGCGAGGTGATCGAAAAATATAAATCTTGCTTTTCTGAGGTCTCAGGTCTTACATGCATCAAGGGCTACTCAGCAAGTATTAGGCTTAAGGATAACGCTGTACCCGTAAGGAATCGTCCTTTTCGTCTTGGTTGGTCGGATCAAGAGCTAGTGGATCAACATGTGCAAGAAATGTTGGATCTTGATATAATCGAGCCCTCTCAAGGTGAATGGTCAAGCTGTCTCTTTTTGGTGAATAAAAAGGAAACTTCGGTTAAGCGTCCTGTGGTTGACTTTCGTTCTGTGAATAAGCAAATCATAAAGGAGAATTATCCTACGGCTACTGTTTCGCAGTTGATTGAAGATGTGGGTTCAGCTAAGGTGTTTTCCACTTTCGATTGTACGTCTGGGTATCATCAATTATCGTTGAAGGAAGGTGCTGAAGTTACTGGGTTCATTACTAGCAAGGGTACTTTTCAGTACAAAAGATTAGCTCAAGGTCTCACAAATGGTTGCGCACAATTCCAAAGAGTAATGTCCTCTATATTTAAGGAGTTTATTGGTGATTTCTGTTCGGTCTTTTTGGACGATATACTCATTTTTTCCAATACCATGGAAGAACACAAGGTCCATCTAGAGTTGCTATTCGAAGCTTGCGTCGCCTCCAATTTGAAACTTAAGCGTAAGAAGTGCTTTTTTGGTAAAGATAAGGTGGAATACTTAGGTCATGTCTTAGGTGCGGAAGGAAACACTCCTGGTGAACGTAACATTACGAAGGTCAAGAATTTTCCTGTGCCAGCAAATGCAACCGACATAAGGAGCTTTTTGGGTCTTAGTGGCTATTACCGCAAGTATGTTCACCGGTATGGAGAAATCGCTGAACCCTTAATCCGGTTAACTAAGAAGAACTGTGCTTTCGAGTGGGGTGAAGAACAACAAGTTTCCTTCGATTTATTAAAGAACTCTTTGATAACGGCTCCGGTTTTGGCTGCGCCTTTGCGCGAACGTGTTCAATGTGTTTCGTGTGACGCTTCGAACAAGGGAATATCATTCATCGCAAGTCAAGTGGACTCTTGGGATGGTTTCGAGAATGAACAAGTATTATCGTATGGGTCTAAGGTCTTAAGTTCTAGTATGTCGACTTGGTCTATTCACCATTTGGAAGCTTTGGCGGTGGTAACTGGCGTTAAGTACTTCAAACATTGGTTGAAGGGCAAGAAATTTGTGTTGATCACGGATCACAGCTCATTGGTATACGTCTTTGCAAATCCGAAGGGTACCCCGAAATTGTCAAGGTGGGCGGCGTCTTTAATGGACTATGATTTCGAGATTAGGTATAGACCAGGAAAATCGAATCCAGCAGATCCCTTGTCCAGAAAGATCGTGGATCTTGAAGTCGGTAACCTCGATGAGATCATTAGGATCGTTTAATATTAGTAATATTGTTAGAAAAAAAAAAAAAAAATGTGCAGATGAATCTATTCGTAGATTGTATAAATAACTTAGTTTATTTTAAATAAAAACATAATCTTTAATCTCTTCTTTAACTTTGGTCTAAAACTTTTATTTCTTGTATCCCTTCTCTCTAATACTTGTTTAAAATATTCTGTTTACCTTTGAATTGGTTGATTTTCCCTTTAAATAATTGGAGTTGTTATTTAACTGTATTTTTCATAATGGGTCTTATGTCTTTTCCGTGGTTTATATCCATTTATAACTACTTAACTGATGGGTTTTATCCTAAGGATGTTACTGATGGTGTTTCTCGACAAATCCGCTACAGGGCTAATTTGTTAATGATTGATGATGATGGTGTGCTGATTGAGAAGAAAACTGGTAGGATGCTATTACACGAAGGTAATGCTCTTCAGAAAATAATTGAAGTACACAAGGAAGGTCATCTGGGAATCTCTAAGACACTGGATAAGGTCTCTCGTAATTATTTGGTACACGATGGAAGGAAGTTGGTTACTGCCGTTGTCAAGTCGTGTGACACATGTCAGTTCCGTGCTCGTATACAAAATATCCGTTCCAACCCGGGTGTTGTTTTCAAAACTACTAAGGATCCTTTCATAATGATCGGTGTTGATGCTATAGGTCCCTTGCAATCTACTGAACGCGGAAATAAATATATCCTAACGGGTATTGATTATTTGACTAGGTGGCCTGTTGCTATGGCGGTTCCTGATATTAATGAGGTGACGACTGGAGAATTCTTGTATAGTATTGTCAAGGACTGGGGTGTTCCTCGTTATTGTTTAAGCGATCGCGGTTCAAATTTTATTTCTACGTATGTGCATGAGTTCTTGAAGCAAATCGGGTGTAAAAATATCATGACCACTAGTTATCGTCCTCAGTGTAACGGCATGTGCGAAAGGTTGAACTACAGCTTGGTGTCAGTGTTAGCTAAGATTGCTCGAGATGAAGAAAACATTGCAAATTGGGATAAGTATGTCGATACAGCGTTGATGGTCATTCGGACGACTAAGAATTCAAGCACTGGATATACCCCAAGTTATCTCTTATTTGGTTATGAAATGAGAACTCCTGCTGTCTGGGTAGCTCCCCGTCTCGATTTTGTTATCGGCGAAGAAGAAGAAGAGGTCCGCGATCGGGTCCTTTTGATCGAAAGAAAAATGTCCAAGGTTCGTGAGGTGGCTAGGCTCAAGTCTGATGAAAGAAAACTGAAGGCCAAAGAGCGTTACGATGGACGAGTTGTGTTTCGAAAGAAGTTCGAAATAGGTGACAAGGTGTTGCTTAAGGATGTCGTCCCCAAAACTAAGTTTTCGGATAAATGGTTAGGTCCTTTTACGGTGTTGCAAGTCAATAAGAATGGCACTTACCATTTGACTGGGTCTAATAGTCTTAGGTTGAAACACGCGGTAAACGGTGACTTATTGAAAATGTATAATAAGGAGGTTGAACACATGGTGCCCGTTGTTGGTGTGTCTGATGCTCAAGAACAATTTCAAAGTTGGTTGAATTCGAAGGTGAATGTCTACAGTTTTGTGGATACGCTCTTTTGAAAGTGGAACTTCAAGCTAGGTGGGCGGTACTTGATGCGTGCGCAGTTTGGTAATGATATCGCTTTCGTTCACTTTAAAAGTGGCTTGGTAATATTATTTTGGTTATTCTTCTTTGTTCCTTGGTTCTGGTTCCCTCATTTGTGGAATGGCGCGTTAATCTTGTCTGAGAAATGGAGATCTAGTTGGTACTGAGTTTGGCGGTGAGAAAAGAGTTTCTAAAAATACGTGATAAAGACCCGACAAATAATATTGCGGTGAAACTATTTTTGGTGTTCTAGAAGTTTTTCTGGTATTCTTTCTCCGAAGGTTCAGTTCGCGTCTTTTTGCTGCTTTTCTAAAATTGGCAGGTTGTTAATTATCTTAGTCGGTTACTCGTGAAATTCTCTTCTTTCTCAGTTACAATTATTTTTATTGTTATTTCGTCGCTCTCTCTCGTATCTCACTTATTTTATTATTACCTTCCTGTTTTGTTTAGTTCTTTATTTTTCTTATTATTCATATTATTTCCATCATAGTTTTCCCGTACCCTTATTTGATTTACTCTATTTTTGTATTGTTCTCATCATAGTTTTTCCGTACCCTGTTATTATTTTATTCCATTTTCGTATTAGTTATTTTTGTACCATAGTTGACAGCTGTCAAAACGTCTATATAAGATTGTCTGATTTATAATAATAAACGTCATCGAATTCTTTCTTTCTGATAAACTTTACTTGTTTTTAAACACTTGTGATTTATCTTTACTTCTTTGCAGATTTCAAAGCTTATTAGTGCAAATCTATATCTTTTTGTCTGTATTCTTTAACAATTAGTCTTACAGTCTCCTTCTTGTTATTCTATACATTTGTTTATTCTTATTACTCTATACAAGGTAAACATAAAGACAATCAGATTCATTTCAAATTTTTCTGTGAACGGACATTTTAATAAACTTAATGTTGAAAACTCGCAGTCACAAACAGTCACGCAATTTTTAATTGGCTGACTGGTAACAAAAGGTCGACGCTGAAACAAACTTTCCCGATATCCCTTATTTTAGCATGTATAATACAGCGAATGCAGTGAATTGAAGTTTATTATTAGATGAGAAGTAGTGTGGTTTTTTTTTATAAAATTATAAAGTATTAGAACAAAACACTGCTAGTAAGAGCAGTAGTAGAAGCGAATGCTATGAATAAATAAACAGGCTTTAAATATGCGGAACCAGAGTTTGAGTTTTGAGTTGTGTTAGAAGCAACGCCCGAGTTATCACTAGTGGCAGCATCAAGACTTTTAGGAGGCCCGTTGTAAGAAGGTGCATCGGAAGGATTCTCAGTTTGTAGATAACTTGGAGGAGCCTTGTCTGTTCCACATTGGTAATAAGCATTGCATGTTGTCGCACAGGTAGAAGGATGTATTTTATCTGTATTACATATCATTTGACATTCTTGTGCTTTTCCCGAACATTCTGCTTGAACAACAGGCCAAAGAAAAGGTGTAAAGTCAGGAGTTTTTCTCTAATCGAAACTTGTTGATAAACATATATGTACATTTGTGTTTATTTTACTTACTGAACATCCACAACCCCATGCCATGGTTGTTGCATTACAGAAGCTGTAGAGGTAAAGGTTAGAAAAAAAAAGTTACCCCTTTAATAAATACCAAAATAGACATTGACTTACTTCTTGGGTGCTTCATTAGGACCTCCACAGTTATTCTGAATGTAATGGTGTACATAAAATAAAAAAAATGATGATTGAAGGAGAGTAACCGTGGTTTAGTGGGGGGAAACTAAAAACATGATTGTACTTGACTTACGGAACAATAGGCTATCTGACGTTGACATAAATTCTCACGAGAAGCTGATTCGATCCGAAGAATATCCCATTCCACATTAGGTAATCCAGCTTTGATTCAAGTTAATAAAAAACAGTTTTGCAGGCTTTTGTATATCATTACCTGGTTTTTCAACTGGTGTCTGTGGTTGAACAGTATGATCCAAGTTGTTTGCTTCGCCAATAGCCTGAGCATTTAAAAAAGCAATGTTAAAAGTGACTAATATAGCAATCGAAGGTAATAACATCATTATATTAGAGTAAAAAATGAAGAAGAGAAAAAACGAAAAAAAAACGAAATAAAAATAGAAAGCTTTATGTATCAATCAGCATTAAACAAAAACTGCCAGGGATGACTTAATTTATAAAAAGGGAAAACAAATGATAAATAAGTGCAAACCTCTCGCCCCTTGAAATGTGTCTGATTAGTTATTCATTATTGAAATGTGTCTGATTATTTATTATTTAGATCCGCTCTATATTTTTCTGTTTATTGTGCTTTGATGACCTAGTTGTTGATGGTACAATGCGAGCGGTGAGTTTTGTCACTTTGACACTTCCTATAAAAAAAGTATTGTCCATAATAACCCAAAACTGTCTCGGACTTAAATTCGGTTTTCTTCCATAGCTTATTGATTGCTTAAGTTTGCTTTCGCATCATTACCTTTGCTATTGGCCAGAATAGCAACATATAGTAAACAAAAATAAAGAGAGAAAGATTCTCAGTGATTGATTAATGTCAGAAATACAGAATAACCGAGTCAGCTGCTTACAAGGATGATAGATATATGGTACAAAAGGTCATTAGTGGACAAGTTCTCTGCTTCTCCCTTTAATACAGTGAAAAGTAAAGTATTTTTAAAATACTAAAATATAAAAGAGCAAAGTTGTAGTTCTCATTACATTCTTATTTTAAATAAATCATTTTTTTGTCAAATCCTATATTTCAAATACGATTCTAGCATTTATAATAACCTCTTGTTGTCATGATAGCTTTCAAAGTATTCCAATATTTATTTTTTATGTAGGGAGAAGCTTGTTTTTTTTATTACGCACGCTCGTTGATCACGCACACAGATACATAACGTTATTAGGTTTAAAAAAAAAGGGGGGGGGGGTGTTATTTTCCTATCATCACTCTTCCGTTTCTGCTTTCTTTGTTTTCAAAAAGGAAAAAATATATAAAAACAATACTCCTCAGATGGGTTATACTTTCCTACAATAATCCAATAGGAATGATAGGGTTCATCAGAAGGATCATAGGTTTTGCCCAGTATAAGCACACAAATTCCTGCACGTAAAAAGAGGGGCGATTTTAGGTTACATCAAATATAAAAAACCGGTAAAATTAAAAAAACATCATTATTTAATATGATCTTTTGCCGGTATGGGTGGCACTTTTGGGTAATTACCGAACAGAATTCGAACCTTAATCCGGATACTATTTCCGTTCATAATAAAGATGCGCGCCGGCCCCTTGTTGGACATCCAATTCATAAAAAAAAAACAAAAAAAAAAAAAAAAAAAAAAAAAAAAAATCTGGTAATTACATTTTCCATTTATTTAGATCGCAAAAAAAAAAAGAAAAAAGAAAAACATGTTATGCGTATTTAAGGAAAAAAAAAAGAAAAGTATTTATGCATCCTCTCCCTCCTCCTCAGATGCCTCTTCGATGCGAACAAACTCAACCATGAGCTCACAATGATCGGTATGGGGGAACAAATCAACAGAAACGGCACGAGCAGGCTTGAAAGGCATACCCTTATATCTGTTTGATTCAGGTCTACATAAACTGTAAATTTTGAAATAAAAGAGTTAGGTTTGCAATACATGTATTATTTTTGAATCCATGACTTACGCGATGAAGTTATCGATGGCTTGCTTACTATCACAAGCAATATAAATGACACGGCTGATATGTTTAGCTTCTCTAATGGCCCTAATTACTGAGGCATGGACACCATTTCTATTATTATAAAAGAAAAATTTAGTTAAATGAAAAACTATGACCAATCTAGTTGACAATTACCTGGGAGGATCTAAAACAGCAATCACTTCCTCATTAACAGCATTAGTTACAACATTGATTTTGTCCTCAACCTTGGCGGCATAGTATGTAACATTATTAATATCTACAAGAAAAAAAAATTAGTTTTGGTCCATTTACAGAAAAAAAGGGACTCTCGCTACCACTTTACCGTTTAACTTGGCGTTGACCTTAGCATCAACAATAGCTTCAGGAACCATCTCGATACCAATGACATGATCGACAGATCTTGCCATGGTGATACCGATAGTACCAGTACCACAACAGAGATCCAACAAGGTTGTCTTCTTGTTAGGATCAATGGAGCACCATTCAGCACACTTAGCGTATAAAATTTCAGCAGCGGGTGTATTAACTTGGAAGAAAGCGCTAGCAGAGAGACGGAAACGGTTACCAAGGATGACTTCATGGATATAACCATCACCTGTCAAGGTTTCCATGGGAGCCTTATCGGTGATACCGTTGGAACTACCATCCCAGACTTGGAAAATCAAAGTTGTAACATCAATACCACTTTCTTCGTTCCAGAATTTGACCAAATTGTCCTTTTCTTGTTGCAAACGTTCAGGAGTTAAATCAGCAGCACGGACTTGAATGAGGATTAAGATATCGCCAGTGCTTTGAGTCTTGGTCATGATGGTACGCCAGACACCTGTCTTTTCAACACGGTCGTACGCAGGAAGATCGGATCTTCTAACATACTCACCCATGAGCTTGGCAATCTTCTTTGCAATATCAGAAACATTCAAACACTCGCTGGGTTCCAATACAGAGGTAATACCGTCACGGTAGAGACCCAACAAGAAACCAACAGTAGGTTCACGATCAAGGTTATAGCCAATGGTGAACTCACACTTGGTACGGTATCCATCGATAACTGGAGATCCAATGGGATCTAAAACTTCACAAGGGAATGCACCTTTTTGGAAAGCCCATGAGCGTTGAGACTCATCACGAACATCTTTAAGTTCTGCAATTTTACGCTTGAGATTTGCTAATTGTTTGGTACCGTTGCGGTTCTTCTTGACAAGTTGAGTTTCATAGCTATCCTTCCACAATGGTGTTACTTGATCTGCTAATTTCTCACTGGGCGTACGATGATCATCCTCTTCTGCGATTTGGTTCTTTCCGTTTTTCTTTCCCTTCTTACGAGCAAAGGTGTCACGGCGAGCATCCTCACTTTCAGGTACGTATTCAGCTTGCAATTGTTGACCCTTAAAGGTCAAATTGCTAATCGTGTTGACAGCTTCCTTTGCAAGTGCTTCAGACTAAATAAATAAATAATAATAAAGGTATATTTAATATAAATGTCAAACAATATAGACACCAGGTATAACTTTACGTCGACAGTAATATATCCATATGACCAGAGGGGAGCCTTCTTGAATCGGTTATATCCGAGACTTTTAAAATATTTCTTGACCATGGGCAAATCTCTTTCAGGCAAGTTGGAGACCCTGATGCGATGAACCATATTCGCAACCTTTTGCTTCTTTTCGACAATGTCTTCATGTTGTTCAGCTTCCAAGGAACGCTTCTTTCCCATGACACTTCCAATTAAGGAGCTAACAAATTTGAACATGATTGAAGTTTTTTTTGACAAGTGAAGAAGAAAAAATTAATGAAAAAAAAAAAAAAAAAACTCTTTTTTTGGCTGGGAGCCAATAAGATTGTATCACAGCCAATCATTGCGGAGGCTTGCCATGAAATCAATCAAATTATCGTGTTCTGGTAACGTAGAATCCACTGATGATCTTTATCAGATTTAAAAACCCATTTTATCTATTATCGCATTTAAATATATTAAAGACATTTATATTTATTGACATAATGTCCATCCGTATGCAGCAGAATTTAAAGCAAGGTCTTGGATCTATGATGACCTTAATTTTTTTATTTTTTTATACATCACCATCAATAATCGTGTTGCATTTAAGTACGTTCAAGCCAAGATAATGTCATATCCGATACTTTATTTTAATCTAATTGGATCATCACTAATCCAATTGGTCTTTCACTACAATATGATCCGTGAAAAATCTAGTCCTGTTGCAGATTGCATGATTTGATGAGGTGCCATTAAGGATTTAGCAACTTTAAGAAAAGTAGGAAATGGTAATTGGAGGAGGAAAAATATAAGCTTACATCATTCCGTTATCTGTAAAAGGAGTTTGCGAGCTTTTCTTTTTTCCCCTGCTGTTCAAATGTGATATTTTGTGTTTCGAATGACCTTTAGGTAACATGGCGTGAGTGCAATAAAAACAAGACCCCAGCTGCTATTTCAGTGTGAAATGGTAAAAGAAACCCCATGAGTTGTTGGGCTGAGAGCATAATTTGAGATTATCTACCTAAAAAGAAAAACAAACAAATATCATTTGATAAACTAGTCTCTATACACGTTCGATCTATATGTCTGCACATTAGCCAGTATACAAATGCCCCAATCCAAGTCGAGTAGAGGGTCATCCAAAAAACTCGAGATAATTGGTAACTGAACTACACTATTGTGTCATGTATATTTCGTAATAGTCCTATAGAAAACAGATATTAACGCACGTCTTGCAACACGTTTCATAAACATGTGAAGCTTATTGTTCAAAAAACGCTTATTACGCAACATACTTCAAAGATTGGTTGCGTTTTGTACGACACATACGGATGCATAAATACGCATTTTCTATGTAGAGCTGTGATATGATTCTCAGCCCCATTGTTAGGAAAACAAGGTGATAGATTAATATGAATCGAGACTGAATCACACTTCCCGCCATCCTCCTCCTTAGGATGGGTCTTGGTAAGGTACTAAATGTCAAACAAAGGAAAGAAAGGAGCAAGTATTGAGAGAAAGAAAAAAAAATTCTTTAATGGGGTTACAGAAAAAAAAAAAAAACGAGTATTAAGCTTTACATAAAAAAATGAGTATTTTGTCTACTATCAAGATGAACAAACATGTCATTCAATTTGTAATTATTGAGCTCTTCCTTAATCTTTAAGGCGATAACAGGAGTTAACTTTTGACAGGTAGCGCTAGTATCGCATCTTCTGTCGTATTCGGATGCAGAAAAAGTTTCGTGTAGTTTTATGACAGTGTTAAAGGAGACTGATTTCTTTTGATTAGTTGTATTATTAGTATTAGTGGTTGATATTGTTGATACAGTAGATGAAGCAGGTGATGGTAACTGATTGATATCATTGTAACGACGATGATGATGATGATGATGGTGATTGTGGTGGTGTTGGTGTTTAGCAACAGAGGGGGTAATTTTAGTATCAACGCAAAGTTGATTCGGTAATTCAACGGCGGTCATACCAAACACCTTTTTGATTCTCTTGCCCAATGATTGTCTTCTTTTAGGCGTTGTATCAATTACGGGAGAAGAAGGTATCGACCTAGTGCTATGTCTATGACTACCAGTAGGAGAAGCTGGCATTCTTTTAATGCTGGAGCTAGAGCTAGAAGGTGATATTGGGCTATAATGAGATCTACTGTAACCAGTACTTGTGCTATTAGATGAAACTGTAGATGATCTTCTACTATTGTTATTCATCATCATGATCATCTGTTGTTGCTGAAGATATTGCAATTGATGATAGCTTGATTGCATTTGTTGATGATATAATTCATTTTTAGCTGACCAATCATTCCACATTGTATTCTATTAAAAGGAGTGGGTAAATAAGGGGAAAAACACGAAAAAAATAAACAAATTACCTTCTCTTCTATTGGTGTTGTAGATATTCTTAACGACATTATATCAGCCAACGACATATCATCGTCTTCATCTTTCTTTTGTTGCTGTGTGGAGTAATTAATAAAGGCAGTCATTCTTGTATGTGATTATTTATGTAAAAGACAACAATTTTTTTTATAAAGATATACACATTAAAAGAAGAAGAAAAGATAAACAAATACAAAATAATATCCCCAAATTTAAAGGGAACAACCATTTTTCCCTCCTCTTTTGTTTCTCCCTCCCTCCCACACCTTTTTGCCCCCTTACCAAGAATAAACTATTCAAAATCAAAAAGGAGTCTCTCCCTTTGTAATTTTTTTTTTTTTTTTTTTTTTTTATTCATCATATTCTTTAACATCATCAGGTTCCTTAATGAACAACTATTAGTATAATATGCAAGTATATTAAAATAATAATTTACCTTGGGTTCCAAGTCTTCACCATATTGCATAGAGTTATCAACATGAGACAAAACGTATTCAACAGAATCCTCATCTGTAATATTAAGTGGTATAAATCTTACCATACTGTAATCGTCAATCTATTTTTAAAAGTGTCAACAGTGGTTTTTCTTCAGCATTAGTTTAAAACTCTACCAATTGCACAATGGCTTGATTTAAAGCCTGGAATTTTAAGCTCCTTGAGCTTGGTTGTTCTCCATTATGTACTAAATCAGCTTCTTCTGTCATCAACATTGGGTCTGGTTCTAAATATCTATCCATTTCACGATCTGTCATTGCCTTTTCCATCAGTCTTCTTCTTCTCTTTTGCTTGCGTCGCTTCTTTTCGGCTGCTGACTCGGAATCATCTTCAATATCATCCTCATCTTCCTCTAAAGGTTTGTTACCATAATCCCCTTCAATCAAGTCCATTTTCGTCATAACATTGACATGAGGAATCTCCAAATTCACCATAGCACTCATAGCACTAAGTACACCAGAGAAGTATTTACTCTTATCCTCGATAAATTGAGACTCGAGACAGTAAACACCACATACTGTCATGTTGAGTCTACCCAGTGTTTCACAAAGACGTCTCATGATTGGAAAATGCGTGTATAACTCAATCTGACCAGGACAATCAATAATCAAATAATCATCGTCAAAGTTGCCAATCTCTTCCTCGAGCCAATCCACATTGTTCATCAAAAACCTAACAAAACACTTTTAATCCTGTATACCTGTCATTTAGCTTGATTTTATACCCGCCCTTACTCTAAACAATAAATCAAACCACCATTGGGTCCATAATCTAATTCCTCCATAACATCTTCCAATGTAATCAACTCTCTAATATCTAATGACAGTTCTTAATTAATAATCCGTGAAAACTTAAACAGTACAGTATGATTACCAATAGTAGGTTCGTATTCGAAATGTTCAGCTGCAGGATCCAAGTTGACAAGGTGGACTTTACGTCCTGCAGTTTGACAATGTGTCATCATTGTAGCACAATAGGTGGACTATCGTTCATTAAGGGCAGTATTAGCAAATAAGTCATTTTTGTTGATCTAATAAAAAATTTACCTTGCCACTTCCAGCAGGTCCCATGACTAATTGACAGTGACGACCCCTATTGTAAACACAGTCAATATCCCTGTTTTGTATATTCTTTATTCAACTTGATATTACATTTTAGTATTTTTGTTGATAAAGCAAACTGTTTTTTTCTGTTTTTTCTCTATTTACCACGCGAGAAGTTTTTTTTTTTTGATAGTCACTGGGCTGACAAATATACAAGTATATAAATAGCCAATCAAATGAAAATGCTAGAAATACATTTTTAAAAATAGCAAAGAAAAAGCTTTTTCATTTCCCGGAACCTTTTTTCCCTTGTCTTCTTTAATCCAAACCAAGACTAAAAAGACCCTATTCAGTACATGTTGTATATTTTGAAACTCGACCGTAAAAAATAAAACTAGAAATGACAATCAAAAAAGCTATATGATTCAATTTTAATGTAAATTGATTTACATACATGTAAGAAAAAAGGAGAATAAGAGAGAAGAATAAAAAGAGATAGAGGAGTTGCTAGAATAGAAGAAAACCCTTCTTTTTCGAGGATGATCAAATAAAATAACGGATCTTGTATCGGCATAATTTCAGTATAATTTATTCTAAACTCCCTAAATACTATTATTGTATGATGACAATTTGACGTTGATTTCACTCCTAAGCGAGGGTTTTAATCACAATTCAATCCATGGAGATAGAACTTTATACATTGTTCCTACTAGCTATTAAGATTGTCATTATTCGAATCTGCTATCTCATTGTGCCTTGCATTATTGGTTTCACAATCAATTTATCACCATGGTTACCATCTTACTACTCGAACGTATCACGCCCTCTCTCCTTCTTCTCCTTGTTTGAATGAAGCAATGTTTCTTCTTTTTTTTTTTATTATCACTGCAAGTAATGAACACGAGAAAAACAAGTATTTATATCCTACCCCCAAATAACATGTTCTGGCATTAGAGTTGGAAGGCAACAAATGGATTATCAAAAAATAAATTGCCCGCCTTAACTTGTAAATCTCTTGAAGATTTATATAATCCCTTCTACGACGATCCTCCTTACCACATTTTTCTTTCCGTATTGTTATCATTATTGCACGCATAAATTTTATTAAAAGGAATTGGGTACGCAGACCCTAAGCAGCGCAATTACAGGAGTCAATTTGTGACACATGCAAACATTTGTTGGGAATAGACTTTCTATCTAAACCTTAATTGTCGTTCTTATAATGACAAACTACCTAAAAAAAAAAAAAAAAAACTTGTTACAACTGAACATGTGATTTTAAGATTCCTGGTTAACATGTAATTACACCGGCTTAGTCTTCAGCAAATAATAAATCAAGAATTTATCCAATGAAGCTTTTTTTATTTGTATTGCAGCAAATTCTCGGGTTACAGAACAAAAAGGTAAATGTTGCATAAATCAAAGTTGGGCGTTTTGTAATGAACCCTTTAACTCGGCTTTTTCGGATCTTCCATCTTCTGCCCCCCTCCCCTTGCTTTTCACTACAAGCTGTCTCTATACATTATATTTGCCATTTGGTTAAGGAGCCTCCCAAGAATAAACAACAAAGCGTTGTTTGTTGTATAAAATAGACGCATCATAGGATCCAATTCTAGATTCACCAAAAGAACATTTTTATTATATTTAGACATACAAGTCAGACATTTAAAATTAACAGTCTTATCAATAGTTCTTGGTAGATAATCCTCCCGTCTGAACGTGTTTGTCACTACTAGTGTAACGCCGATCACGCAAACTACAATCCCTTGTATCATACAATTTAATAACTATAATCAGCGAGTTGCGCTTTTTGGAAGCCAGCCACGGACTGGAAGTTGACAGAGCGTCTTAATCACTAGGGGTCAAAGAAGAATTAGAGAGGAAGAACAAAAAAATACAGTTAGACGTGGTACCATCTGCAATAACATGCATGCCTGGGGTCTGTATTCTATTTAATATATCGGCAATATGATTAAAAAAAACTAGCAGCTGGTATGTTAATGATGATACACTTGAAATTGTGCGGTACCCGCAATATATGTATATATGGTAAACCCAGGGTCATATGCCCAATAGTTTATTACTCACGTATGATACATTTTATCGTTAAGTGAGATGTAATACCCTTTATTGTTGAAGTATTATTTTCAAACAGTTCTATATATAAAATTAGGAAGGATCTGCTGACAGATTAAATAATGATACATGTGGCTCACATCTTATTAATTAGAAAGCTTTTCTAAAAACAGATTCCTAAAACTTTACTGTTGCTTAATTTAAAAAAACAGTTTATTTCCTTCGAGAGGGAGGGGAAAATCTCGTTCTAGAACCCAGAGATTACTTGACGGTTTGTTTGAGAATCCGCTTTTTTTAGCCTGGGCGGCGGAGTAAAGAAGAAAGGGAGAAAGAGCCTTTGCTGAACGTGAGATTCTGTTTACTAAAGTTTTAGATCTTGATTTGTGTCTGTGTTTGTCACACCAGAAGACCAAAAAAGCGTAGGTCAGCTTTATTCATAGGAATAATTTTAATATTAACAATGGGTATTGGGAAAATTAAAAGCTTTTTTTGCGTGTTATCTCCTGTCTACTGACCGACACTTACATTGTCTTTTGTATAGCTATTCTGAAATCAAAAAGAACACCAACTCAACAATGTATTTCGTAAAGTAAAAATATATTGCCTCCACTTTCAAATCATGGGGTTTTTACTATTGTATTTCTTTAAAATAGAATGGATCATTCCACTACCAAGATTTAAAAATAATTTGAAATTAATTGGGAGCTGATTCTTAACATTTATCGTTCTAGATATATACAAAGATTTTGTACCCATATAGTATGCGAACATGTCATCTCCTTGACAGATGATGCCAGGAACGGCGGGATTTGGAACTAAGTTCGCTAAATACTTGAGTGGTTTAAAGAAACCGAAACCGGTTTTAAGCTTTGCCAATTATTTTCAGCATTCAAATGTCCAAAAGTCTATCCGGGTCTTTCTTAATTTGAATGGGTGAGCTGCGAGCTCTTGAATGTGGTCAAAGCAATCTCATAAATGGTTGAAATTCAGTGCCGCTACATATTTGGAATTTACTGATTCTGATAATTGAAGCAAAAAATATATAGACAGACCACCCAGCTCGAAACAGGATCGGTCGCCAAGTAGCATAATATTTTGCCGTTGGATTCCTAAAAGTATTTATAGTTAGAAAATCCATGCTCACTGTTGAAAGCTAGACTGAATGAAAGAGGCCAAAAAATAGAAGTAAATTGCGCCGTATCACAAGAAAAAGCTCCTCCGCGTGTAATCAAGCACCTGTTGACACTGCTCATCAGTTTAAAGTAGAATTTTCTACACCAATTTTAATTTTTTTTATAAACCAGATAGATGAAACGCAACGATTTTATTTTTATTTTTTTTGGAAATATACAACTATCTAAAAATGTGTGGTTTAAAACAAAAGCTCTGTGTAATAGTGCTTATTTATTTTAAAAACAGAACCTTTTTTTTATCAATGTGGACTTTGAGAACGTGAATATATGTGTGTCCAGGTGAGTGGGTGGGTTTCCCCCTTGAGAAATTTATCAGGATTGATATTATGCAATAGTGAAGTTACACATCTGCCGCAAATTACACAAGATTAAATTTTTAACTGTTTTAAGAGTTGATGCGTCAGTTCTGAGAAAAAAAGTAAAATTTAGCTTAGTTTCGAATATGAATTACTTAATAGCACGCTATAAATGCAACTATTCATAGAAGGACTGATTTAATATAGGTATAAGGATGACCAAGTATGGATTGGTAATACGCACGGCACCAATTTGTGATTCTATCGGGATCTTATTGACATATGAGGGGAGAGCACATGAACCCGAGGACCCGCATACACTCATGTTATTACTGCGCATGAAAAATGTATCCTGGCAGAAACAAGTTTATCATGATTTGTTCCTTTTGAATTTATCTAAATCGATCTTGGGCTTGGAGTTTGTAATCTATTATTCTTGCGTGACACTAACTTTTTTTTATTGAATCCGGTAGCTCAAATTAAAATAACAAACAACTTTTTATATCTTGGGGGCGATTAGTACAGAAAAAAAAAAGGTTTTTTATCAGATGGTACCCGGTGCTGACAATATGGAAAAAGAAGAAAGGATTTTTAAATATGTTTTTGATACTGAAAACCAATGATTACAGGTGTCCCCCATTGTGCTAGTTTCCGGTGTTAGCACAAGGCCAAAAAAAGAAAAAGTGATACCCACGGGAGTACGCCATTTTAAGTGTCATAAAACCTTCTTGGTGAAACTTTATAACACCGCTATTGTTCTTGTGTGTATGTTATTAAAATGGGTCCATCTTGTATCAAAATATTTAGTAGCACACTAAACTGGACATTCGAAAAGCAAAATAAAAAATTGAGCATGAAGATCGTGGCGTTTAACTTAAAAAATAACATACGATATATATTATTCTAACCATGTAGACTTATATAAAAATAAACGGGTATATGGTGTTACGCCGATCTTGCTTTTGATGATTAAAAAGAACCAGACGTTGTTGCAAACGTACCAAACACACACATGCTCGGCCCCCTTCGGTCATTGAAGACAAAAACCTATTTTTGATGAGCAGATAACGTACAGCTGAAACACCTTGTAAGTGTAAATATCAAATAAAATAAGGGTTTTTCTTTTATTCTGGGACGCAAATTACATCATCCCTTTTTTAGTACTTGTTTATTAAAAAGAAAACCCCATTTGTTTGTTTTGTTCAGAAAGTGTATATTATGTGTGTGAGTGAGGGCAGATCAAGAAAAATGTCTTGCCGTGCATGTGATATGCAGTGGCTATTAAGAACACTAGAGAATGTTGGTTACCTCTCGCTTTCACTCGTTTATTTATCAGACATTGTGTAATGATTCGGATCACGGCATTATGTAATACAAAGGAGAGTATAGGCCGTAATTAACGTTTGTGTACCAAGTCTTTTTCAAAAGTTAAAGCGGGTTTGTTTTTCTATTTGACACTTAATCTGAGAGAGAGAGAGAGAAAAAAAAAAGAAGGGAAAATGCAAAACATTAGATTTTTTTTTAATATTACCATAATGTATCGGCAACTGGTCATGTATATGACTGTGGTATGCAGATCACACATAATAATAGATATGTGATTAAAACATAGGGAGAAGGTTAGAAACGATATTGAACCATTATAATAGTTTCAAGATTTGTTTATTTATTATGATGGCGATTTGACGTTGTTACATGTAAAAATACTTGTGCACTCCGCCTTAGTGTGTACAAAATGGAACGTCAGTTTGTATAGTATTAGTTTTTTTGTAAGTCATCTGGCTATTAAAAAAAAAACGTGGCCAAATTATGAATAGTATTCTATTTAGCAGAGTAGGGCTGTGTATTCAGCCGTTTTGGCTAAAATGTAATGTACAACAACAGAGACCACATGCATATTTATTAAGGTTGCACTTGCATGTACTAATGATGTGAACTTTCATTGTTGTGGTTTCAATTCATGTATATCTAACATCACCAGCCACATTATAGGGAGAATGTGTGAGTAGCAATGTATATATATATGTATGTATGTACGTACGTACTTAAGTGTGTATGTGTGTGAATTTAAGCGTATATTCATTATTGGGTTCCCAAGGGAAAAAATGTACATAGGGCAAAGGGGATTACTAAATAATGGCTATTATAATCCGGTTTTTATTTTCGGCTAATCTCCCTTTAAACAATAATAGGGTCAAGAAGGAATAATAGGTCGCGTGTTGTGTAACTTTGATGGGCAATCGAATGAAATCATGCGGAGTTGTTTATATATATATACGCTACTATATCTTCTTTTTCTTCTTTCTCTCCTGCTGGGGTTGGGCGGGACCTTATTAGGAGATTAATATATATTTTATTACACCAGATGCCGGTGTGTTCCTTTTTGATTCTCCTTATGCGCAACAAATAAACTTAATGTCAAACAGATTTCTTTTTCTTTTTATTTCTCTTTCTTCTTGATAGATATTTCTTTTCTTTACATTTTTACATTTATACAATGATTGCCACTACTACATTTAAAACCGGCATAGAATTATCAGAGTTATGTTGCTCTATCGTTCAAACACTTTGTGGAGGAAACATAACCTGGGATATGGATAGACAATTAAATTTCTCGATATTCTGTAATCGACTCTTGTTACAGATAGACATCCCACCACCCGTTGTATATACAAGGTAAAGTGTATAATTGTAAATACGATTTTAGATCTGAAACTAATCTATAATTATCCTCCAGTTTAAAATACTTTCAATATATCTTGGCAAATAGCGTAAATGAATATAATATAATCGATTTATCGGACATTGCACATGAATATTCTCTTTTTACTGTATCACTATTATTGGCGTACAAATTTCTTGAAGACAACCCACCTTATATGGTAATAATAATAATAATAACTCATATAAAAAAAATGTTGTCAATTTACTAAAAATATTGAATAGAGTCAATGGTCCTATGTATCCATGATCCCAATTAAAGAATTAATTTCATTAGAATCCAAAGTTTTGAACTTATTAGGATTCTCACTGAATATCTCTACAGAAACATTTTTCGAATGGACCGAACAATGCAACACATTATATGATATGCCTTATATATCATTAGATCAACTCAACATGTTCGATTTACATATGACACACACAACTCTTGGATACGTAACTTTATTACCGGTTTTATTAGACGATATTTATGTCGTGGGACCATCCTTATCATCCTCATCATCACAGAATACATCTCCCATTTTAACTTCAGATTACTACTGGGTTGAACCAACAATCGAATACTATCCTGCACAGCCACTATGTAATCCGCTAGATGACTTCTTACTCAGCAATGGTTACCAGCCAACCGAAGAGTACTACGCACCGTCATGGCAGCAAACTCAAATCGATAGTTTGTGGTACTTACCACAAACAATATAATAAAAAAAGTCATTCCACCTCTCCCCCCCTCCCTCTTCTTCTCCCCCACCCCTTTTTTTGTATATCATTTCACAAACACAAACACATACACACATCATAATCATCATGCATACAAAACCTTGTTTATATATATATATAAAAAGAGTACCCTTATCCAAGCAATGCGTTTAGAAAGGGACACTCATTTATCATGCCTTTATTTATCATTTATTAATTTTCTTCATGTCTCTATTTGGTGTTGGGGGTGACATTGTCCAAACAATGGGTCTTAAAACGGGGTTTGCTCTTAATTAGAGCGGGTAACTGTACATGGAGTAACAGAGGGACTTTCTTCTGGAATTAAAGATTGAGGGTTTGTAAATGAGCACAGTACAACGTTCTTTTGATCAAACAAAGCATGTATCACGTGAAAAAGATGATTAAGTTCCCTTTTTAGTGTGTCAGCTTTCTGTTTACGGCCATTTCTCCCATCCGTCCGGATTTTTTGAGTTTTTCTGATATAAACAAGCTTAAGAATGAATAAATGATAACTTTTTTATTTACAATATAGAAAAAAAGACAAAAAAACTCTTTTTTGTTATATAAAAAAAAGAAAAGGGTGAGTGAGTGAGTGAGGGGGGGATTGGGGGGAAATAGACTACAAAGGGGGATTATTTAATTCCAAAAACGAAGGGATAAATTTATCGTTTACCACCCTTCTTTTTGTCACCAAATGATTTTTTATCACCGAATGACTTTTTATCACCACCCTTCTTGTTTCCCCACTTCTTCTTGGCATCAAAAGTGGCAGCATATTCACGTTTAGATTGCATACGAACAGCCTTTTCGGTATTTACAATGTCGTTTTTACCAACAATCTTTTTAAGAATATCTAATGAACTAGTCTTTTCAGCCTTAACATCTCCAATTGTCTCTGAGAATTGATGGGTAACACCCTTCATCTTTTGTTCACCCTTCAATTTGGCGTCAAATTTACCAAGACTGGCAGTAGATTGCTTAGAGGCTGCAATAGCTGTTTGAAGTTCATGCTTCTTGAACTCCTTGATATCTTTTTTACCAGCAAGGGTAGCAGCTGTACCTTCTTCTTGATTACGACGTTGACGCTTAGCATTCTTTTCTGAGCGACCCTTCTTTTCTTCACGCACTTTAGCATATTGATCTTCCATAGGATCTCCATGATCAGGCACAGGGATAACCCAATCTTGATCCACAGTACCTTCTGCCTTGGCTCCTTGGTAACCCCAACGAGGTTTATAATCACCAGTTTCTTCATCAAAGACCATACGCTCACGCTTAGAGTTTTGAATACCCTTGACCTTGGCGAATTTCTCCCAACGAGTAAGAGGCTTGTCCTTGGGCAATTGTTTCTCACGAGGTAAAATGGACTTACGGTGAGGTAAGATGGCTAAAACACCAGCATCGGCACTGTTGACAGGTAACTTGAAAAGTTCGTTGACAATTAATTGAGTATTGTCTCTAGTTAAATCCAAAAGATATTTATCAGTGTTGTGCTTGCTCCTATTAAATAAAAAAAAGTTAAGATCTGAATCTAGATTACCACATTTGCACTTTTATTTTTTATCGACTCTTACTTTAAGGTTTTCTCGTCTAAAGCATTGGTGTCAAAAGCAGCTAAAACGTTAATATCGAAATCAACAGGAACGAGCTTCTCGACTGTGATAGATTTGCTGTAGAAAAAAAAAAGTGACAGGTGGAGTTAGGTAACGTACACAATATTCTTTGTTTAAGGTTGCAACTTACAATTGAGCTTGATGAGCTTCCAAGATCTCGGTGACATCCATCTTTTATAGAATTAGTTGTTTGTGGAAAAAAAAAGAAGATCAGCAAAAAAAAAAGTTTGAATTCTTTCGTCGTTGGAAGTGGAGTCTTTTTTTTTTCGAACATTGTGTGGCGGTTAAAATAGGACTGCTAAATAATGACTGCTTTTCATGCGTTGTTTTTCGATTTGAGGGGTTCTGTAACTGAACGCTCTACGATCAAACACTGCTGTCTTTAACATTTTTTTCAAAAAAAAAAAAGCATTAGAATTCTAAATCGCCGTGTACTACAAAGATTAAAAGATATTCATATACCAAAATAAGGCTGAAAGCATCTATTTTTACATTCAGGAACTTGATAATTACAATCGTAAGTCTTAGAAAACTTGTATTTCTACTGTTATTAAGATTTTCCCATTTTAGAAAGGACTCCTTGTTATTCAGGCAATACTCGTAATTGATCATTATTTAGTATAACGGAAACTCTTTCTTGGCCCGTGACGTGATTTGTCCAGTTCATTAGATGGACAAACGAACGGGTTCTATTAAATAGTTGCGTAACATCACAAAAGAATCTCGTGGTTTTAGCACAAATTCTTGCATGGTATATATGAATATGACATTAAAACCGCAGCTAAGATTAGACTTTGAACATAATATGGTAAAAGAAAACGCAATACTGCGGGAGATGATAATAATTTTTTTGAATAATAAAGGCATTTTCTCAAGTACATATAATAGTAACAATGGTAAATTGAATTTACCGCCTTTAATCCTCATTTGACAATCTAGTGATCAAGATGGTAACTTTTGTCCTTCTGGCTGACCCTCGTATGACAATTATGCTTTATTTCGCAGGTTTTGTAATCTTATAAACAAGTTGTACCAAAAATATGAATTGCATGCTTATCATATGTAATACAACCACTCAAAGCAAGTTGGATGATCAAAGGCCCGTATTACTTTAACTGTCTAGTTCAATCAGACATGTTCCACACAAAGGAAGAAAACGATTTATTTATTAAAATGACCCTCGGTGATGTTGCACTACAACCTTTTGTAAATCCGGCTCTTTTCTCTTAACATTTCAATCGATAATAAGTCAACGATTAAAAAAAAGCTCGTAGTACAGGATGAATAATTCTCACTGAGTTATTTTATGCAGTATCTTTTACTAAAGGGGCTAGTTCGGACCTGAACGATCTTTTTCTTCGAGGATGATAAATAGGTGGTTGCTCTACAGGAACAGGTATAATCGAATGTCTTATTGTAGGAGTCACTGGCGACGGTGTAACAACAGGAAAGTTTCTTCGGCTCAGCAACGTGCCTTTAAAGCTTCGAATTTCACTTTTGACATTCTGAACTACTGCCTCTATACTATCGCCGCATTTATTTGGAAAAACACTAGTGCTATAAGAGCCATAGTTTGGCGGCATAGAGGTCTGAATGATGATATCTTTAAACTGATCCACGTTAGATTTCAAATCTATGTAAGGTTGGTGCTTAATCCGACTCTCTTTATACTGTAAAGTGAGCTCCACCAATCGATCTATAGAATCGTTGAGTTTGCTTTGCTCTGTCTCTAAACTATTCGTAACGTCTGTTTGCTGAGATTGAATGCATTGGTTGATGCGGCTTAAAACGACTGCATTTTGTTTATATCGGTTCGCCTGATAATTAGCAATTGTTCGTAGTAGATTAGACATCATTTTCTTTCAAAAGGAGGCACTTGTTAAAATAAAATAACTCTAAACTAATTTAAGGCAGACTTACTTTTATGATTACAGTGATAGAAGCAGTGAGGCCAAGGGTACCGATTGCAAGCAATAGGGCGTAACTGACTATTTGAATATCAGTCAAGCGGGGAATAGGAGATGGGTAATAAACACTCTGCGACATGAGTGAAGGACGAGGTGGTGGCCGAGGAATCTATTATTTGTAGTTGAGACCTTCCATTCATCATTCAAAGAGGCCAATCTGATTATTTATTTTTACCTGCAGTGCTTCTCCTGCTCTTTTAAAGGCCTCTTTAATTTCCTCATCATGCAACCCCTTATTTCTTAGAAATTGAATCTTGCTTTCATTGTCAGCTGACTGTACACTTTCCGAAGTTAAGAATGCCTGAGCTGATTGCAATAGATCTTGTCTCATGAATAAAGCAAAGAGGTATACAGGGTGGAATATAAAAAAACAAAGGCAAATGCACGCACACACCATGTGACTGGGTTTAAATAGGGCATAAAAAAATCCCTTTTTTGACAAAATGGGGTTCAAGTTCAGACGACGGGGCTGTCTGTCTTGGACGGAACACCTCATGTCTCCTTTCTTTTTCCATCTCTTTACGTACATACATGGTTGTCCTCGATCTCGACGCATGCTTAGAAAGACTGTACAAGAAGCAGTTGTTAGCAGAATGTGTTCTGAAAGAAATCTGTGAACGAACTAAAGAATTACTCATGACCGAAAGTAATGTGGTTCAAATCAGTGCACCAGTTACTGTTGTCGGCGATATTCATGGGTAACTGTCTGTTTAAAGTACAATGTAGCTCGTAATTAACAATGATCTTGTAGACAATATTACGATTTGATTGAGATATTCCGTATAGGTGGTTATTGCCCTGACACAAATTATCTATTCCTTGGTATGATATAGACCATCGCTTTAAACACAGTAATAACTGAAGTAAAACTTCTTTAGGTGATTATGTTGACAGAGGATTATATAGCATAGAAACTATATCGCTCTTAACTTGTTTAAAACTAAGATACCCCGAGCGAGTTCAGTTAGTAAGAGGAAACCATGAATCGAGAGCAGTTACCCAGACATATGGATTTTATGCGGAATGTCAAAGAAAGTATGGATCAGCAAATGTTTGGAAATATTTCACAGATATGTTTGACTACTTGACGTTATCCGTAGTAATTGACAATAGCATCTTTTGTGTGCATGGTGGGCTATCACCTACGATCCATGTATTAGATCAAATTAGGATTATAGATCGATTTAAAGGTAAAATAAGAGAAGTTGGTCGCGATGTATATATATCAAACGATTTATGATTCCATGTAGAAATACCGCATGAAGGTGCTATGGCAGATTTAGTATGGTCGGATCCAGATCCAGATAAAGAAGAATTTGCAATTTCAGCTAGAGGAGCAGGATATACATTTGGAAATTTGGTTGTGGATAGGTTTCTTCATTTAAATAATATGGATCATATTTTAAGGGCACATCAATTATGTAATGCAGGGTATCAGGTCTTATTTGATGATAAACTGTCAACAGTCTGGTCGGCACCCAATTATTGTTACAGATGTGGTAATTTAGCTTCCATCTTGGAAGTAAGTGTTACTGGTGAAAGATTCTTTAATGTGTTTGATGCCGCACCTGAAAATGATAGAATAATCGACCCTAATGGACCAAAGGTAATACTTATAAAGCTTGTGTGTTTATGCATTATTAACGCCGTTTTAAACAGGATAACAAAATTGAATACTTTTTATAAATAAATTAATTTTCGCGTGCGGGGCATAAGCTTTTTCTTTCCCTTTTAGCCCCCAATGTTTAATTCATCCCCTCTAGATTTACCAACACATAGTATAGACTCACATTATGGAAAATCAGCAACGCGAGCATATAGCACTTCGTCCCCTCTAAGGACAATAAAAACATCGTTGGAAATTATTCTTTCATCTAAAGACTCTAGACAGATATTCTATTTCTTGTTACTTAATCTATCATACATGTTTGTCCAACTCGCCTACGGTGTATGGACAAACTCACTTGGTTTGATATCTGATGGTAATTGTACGAACAACTGTATAGGACCAGACTTGTTGACGCGTTTTTTTCTTCATCTTTTGTAGCCATCCACATGTTCTTTGACTGTCTTGCTTTGGGTGTAGGATTATTTGCTGCCGTCATGAGTAAATGGCCATCCAATTCAGAGTTTTCTTATGGGTAACTTTGTCTACCTATACACGCACAATATTATTTTCAAAGCAAGAACTGATTCTTTTGTATAAACTTGTAGTTATAGCAGAGTGGAAACAGTTGCCGCATTCTTCAATGGAGTATTTTTAGTCTTAATCTCTTTATCCATTATCACGGAAGCTATTCAACGACTCATCGATCCTCCCGAAATGAATACGCATCGCTTACTCTTTATCAGCTTTGTGGGCTTAATTGTCAATTTAGTGGGTATCTTTGCATTTAACCATGGCCATGCTCACGGCGGACATGACCACGGACACGACCATGGACACGACCATGGTCACAACGCCAACATGCAAGGTATAACTAAGATTGAACAAAAGAAATGATTTATTTAGTTACTGAGCAGTTTTACAGGCGTGTTTTTACATATTATGGCAGATACGTTGGGTTCAGCTGGCGTGATTGTGTCTACACTATTGATCAAATGGTTTGGATGGACTGGTTTTGATCCTATTGCTTCATTATTCATTGCAGTTTTGATCATTATGTCTGTGATACCATTAATTCGCCAATCCTCGGCTGTCATGATGCTGGAATTGTCGGATGATACGGTTGCGGTAATTGAAGGAACCTTAGATGAAGTGCGAGCCATGGATGGAGTCTATAGTATCAGTCATTCGCGATTTTGGCCATGCGAAGCAGAGAGTGTGATTGGATCAGTCCACGTACAGGTCAGAGATGAGGTGAATACACAGACAATGCGACAAAAGGTGACTGAATTATTACAGAGTCATATTCATGGATTGAGAGAAGTGTGTGTACAGATTGAACTACAAAGTGCTGTGAAAAAGAATAGATTCACAGTGCCTCAGAAGGGTTTCTTTCATACGCCAGTTTATTCAGGTATATCCTCTATGAATAATGCCTATGTAAATCACAGAGCACCTGTCACAGCGACAATTCCACCACCACCACCACCCGCTTCTGTGGTTCCTTCTACTACCATTCCTCCACCTAGTGTAATATCATCTGTATTGCAAAAGCAAACCAAAAAAGAATAAATTATATCACTATAAAGATCAACGCACAAGTTGACACTACTTGTCCTACATGAGAAATAGTAATTCTCACCACTCACAAAGTCTTTGTAGCGTGACTGCGACAAAGGGAAACATTTAAATTTAGATGGTTTTGAAAACAACAGCCAGTCGTCTCTTTTTAACTTTTTTTATATAAACAAATGGACAATAACAACTGGCGAGGCAGAGGACGTGGCCGTGGAGGCAATCGTGGCGGTGGAGGCGGTGGTGGAAATCGTAATTACGATAACGATTACGATAACGACTATAGCAATAATAACAACAATCGCAACGCGTATAACGATGGTGGCAGCATTTCAATCACTTCTCGCTTAGGTCCAACCAATAGCCCAATCAATGAACGCATTGTACATAAACAACCACCACAGCATAACGATTATAACAACAGAAGCGACCGCACTGATCGTAGTAGTTATGATGACCAACAACAACGGGGTGGAAGAGCCTTTTCATCTAATAACTACCGTGGTAGGGGAGGAAGAGGACGAGGTGGTGCTAACAATGCCCCTCCTCGCTTTACCCGTGAATTTGTTGACGAAGACATTGACATGAAGCCGTAAATACGAAAAACAATCTTCTGCCAAAGGTCTTGTATACTAACCATTCTTGTATTTAGAGATGCCACAGCTAGCAATGTTGTAACTGTATGTTCAATGAGCTATATTCGTATAAAAAAATCACAAGGCTAATTTTCTTTGTTTATCATTTAGGTCACAGGCTATCCTGCAGGATCTGAAGAAAAGGTGCTTGGCTTCCTTACCAGAAAGTCTAAAGCTGCTTGGGAACCACTAAACGTAAACGAAAAAAGAAAAAGAACAAAGAAAAACCACGCGAGTTCTATAGACACTAATTCCGTTTCTCCATTCAGATTCAATATGAACAAAAGTCGATGCAAATCACAGTAATCGATGAACAGGTTGCAGATAGTTTATGTCGAATGAACAATTTTAATTTCGGCAATGCAGTGGTAATTTATGCTCCTTTGTCACTTCCTTCATTATGCTAACTGCTTATTAAAAAAAAAAAGCTTACTATTACAAAAGGTGGAGATGGTATGAGCAGAGACAATGGACAAACAGGTGGTAGAGGCGGCAGAGGAGGAAGCAACAATTATAATAACAACCCTAGAGGAAGTACTGGCGGAAGCGGCAGCGGTGGAGGAGGAAGGTCGGCTGTGCTGGCCGAGTTCTTACAAGAACGTTGGAACGCTGAAGCTGGATTTTTAGACATGGATGGATTACCGCCTACTTCACATAATATTGGCGTTGTCATTTCCCGTCTTTTAAATGAGGCACAACATCTGTTTGGCGATTCAGTAAGTAGTTGGTTGTGACGGAAATTGAATAGTGTAGTTAAATAGGGTTTTTATTAGGTCAAAACCATTTCATTCGCAAGAAATAAATTATGGTCTGTTGGTCCGTTAAACAAAGTCGCTGAATTGTTTCCCAACCTTCAAAACCTTTCTATTGCGGATAACGATATTGCCGAGTTCCGTAGCCTAGATAAGCTCAATAATAAGTTTAATGCGTTGCAAGAGCTCATGTTATCAGGAAACCCAATCCAAGTTAACAACGATATTCAAACATACCAGAGAGAAGTTTTAAAACGATTTCCCACTATTCGATTTTTGGATGTTCAACCCGTGAGTGGTACAGGCGGTTCTATACCTCAAACGTCAGTAGAGTTTCCTGTGCCTGTTAGGCCCAACTTTTTCGATCAGGATAGTTCAAGTCTAGCCGCTCAAGACCTTTTATCAAAATATTTCCCACTGTTTGACACGAACCGTACAGGATTGTTGGATTTATATGATACGCAAGCCATATTCTCGGTTGTATTCAGTAATGGAACATACCAGCAACAAAATGTTTGGGGCAGCAGTCAATGTAAAGTTTTGCAATTGTAAGAAGATAATGAGAAAGCTCACCTTTTCTTCTTTGTAGTAAACCCTGCTCAAAGAATGGCGTTTGGTAATGAAAATATCGTAAAGCGCCTCTTATCGTTACCTACAACCGTTCATGATTTATCAAGAGCTGATAACTTTGTTTTGGATGCATGGCAAACAGCTGGATCTCAGGCACATCCTGTTGTATTATTCCTAAGTGTACACGGTGAATTTGTCGAATCACCTGTTGGCACACCTTTATCATTTGACCGTACTTTTTTAGTGGCTCCTTCAACTCCAGGTTCAAGGTAAATCATCACCAGTTATTTTTTATTAGATTTTTTTACTGACTAGTATTTACAGAGCGCACTCATCAGGTTGGGGATATGTCATATTGTCCGATTCATTCATTGTGCGCAATTATTCGTGTAAAGCAGGCTCCTTGATCACTGCATCTTAACATACTTATTTCAATAATAAAAAACGACAGTCCCTCATTTCATTGTTACTCTTTTTTTTTTTGCCCTCCACCGCCTTTTAATATATCTGAATGGAAAAGCTAAAAATAAGCACTATACCCAACTTTCTGTTAGCACGCATTTTGTTGCAATTGCATACACTCCCGCCAAAAGAGATTCCCGACTTTGTTAATATATTGGCAGCAGGGTTACAGAAATATGGTTCGACTGGCAACATTAACGCGTTTTTGGATTACTGTTCCACATTAGCACAAGACACACCTTGGTTATGGGAATATTACGAGATCAACAATGACACTGACTGGAATCTTGCCAATTTAAAGAAACCACAAGAGCTTGTTGGCTTACGCTTCTTACTTGCTTCAGAAACAGTAAGTATCCTTTTCTCTGTTCCACTTTTTTGTTTGTTTTGTTTGCATAATCTCCCCTTATAGCTTCTTTCTTAATAGGCCAGACAAGGCGTACAGCTGACACGGTTAGGCCGAAAAGAAGTATTGGACCCAAAATGTTTCCGGTACTTTCAAGGCCGTATTTTACCCGTAGATCAGCTTCTATATGACACCTTGGATTATTTAAAAGGTGAACAGTCAGACAGCAATAAACTAGTAGAACAATTTATCGAATTAAGGTTGGAACAATATACACGCGATAAGTTTCAATTTCAACAAGAGTCAGAAGAGCTAGATAATACAAATTATCATTTGATGGGTGCTTTAATGGCCAGATATGATAGCAGTGCCACAGATGGTAGTGCACCCGATTGTTGGTGTCTTTACTTGCGTGATTATGTGGACAGTGATGGTTCTGCCTGGCGAATTATTTATACAGACAACGATCATACGGTAAGCACATATTAAGTCTACTATTCAAAATCCTCATAAATAAATAAATTCAAGATTACATCAGATCAAGCACTTTCGGATATTCGTGGTATGCCTTATGAATCAACACAACCTTCTGAATTCTCCAAGGAATATAGGCCCATTTACTTGTTTTATGTCAATCAAGTTATTATGACATCCTCCTCTTCACCAGAAAAAGAAGTTCATATTACACTGGACGATTATACGTTTGATGAAGAATACGAGTTTACAGAAGAGAAACCAGCCGAAGAAGAAGAAGACGAGGATGATGACGAGGATGAAATGTGTATGCATTGTGGGTTAGGAGACACAGAAGGTAACGACATTTTCTTCTGTGAGAGTTGCAACAGAGGAGTACATCAATTATGTGAAATACCACCCATTCAGCCTTTCGAGAAAAACGTGGATCCTTGGTATTGCAGAACTTGTTGTGCTAAAATGAGTATACCTTTACCTCAACCGCCTCCATTAACTGCCGAAGCATTATTGTCTATACTTCAGGCATCAATTCAGTCGGCAAGCATACCTGTGAAAAGGAAAAGAGAAGACGAAGATAATATCGAGGACATGGATAAAATAAAAGAGTTATAGATTTATTATTATTGTTATTTATTTTAATATCGTGTCTCTTTTTTCAACAGTAATTTTCATACCATCCTTCATAGCTATAGTTAGCAAATTTAAGATAACAACTTGGTGACCAGGCGCACGAGTAAACTTGTATCGTTTTATCAAAATTGAAATGGCTATCACAGCTTCCAAAATAGCCAAGTTTTGGCCTAAACATACTCTTGGACCTGCATTAAAGGCTGACCACTTGAACGGTGAAACTCGAATAAGAGATCCATCAGCCGGATCAATCCATCTTTCTGGTTTAAATTCTTTGGCATCCTCACCCCAAATACTAGTCATTCTTCCTTCAGCAAAAGACTGCCATGATACTTGATCGCCTTTCTTGACATGTGTTCCATCAGGCCAAATATCATCAGCAAGTGCACCCTTTTGATTACCAGGCACAGATGGGTAAAGTCTCAAAACTTCATAAAATCTATATTGAACAAGAATGAGCACCTGCCCATCTTCAAATGTCATAAAAGAACGATATTTACACTGCATGAGTATAAGTCATTTTTTGTACCACCTCGTATAAGCCAACAGGATCAGACTCAATATCATCAGTAATGTATTGACGCACTTCTTTTAAAATTTTTTCTTCCACTCGGGGATGCATCATAACATTGTAAAAAGTCCAAGACAGGCTTACTGCTGTCGTATCTCTTCCAGCAACCATAAAATTCAAAATAGCATCTCTCAAATCTTGATCGCTGTAGGATGATCCATTTAATTTTTTACTGTGTAAAAAACGATCCAAAAGATCTGCATTAGGGTCCTCTTGTGACCGGGTATTGTTTTTGCGCTCTTGAATAATGTTGTTTGCAAACGTGTTAATATTCTCCAAATGTTGCTTGATAGATTTAGTTTTTCCCCAATAATTTGTATAGTGTTTGATCCCTTCAATAGTATCAACAAAGGGCACAAGAAAACGCCTGAATGCGTGCATTTGAATTGCATCAAAAGACTGGGCAAAATCTGCTTTGCCCAAAAGTGAATTTAATTGAACACTGAATCCTAATCTTAAAATGTAGTAGTACAACCTGTATGAGTATCATATGCCAATAAGTGTCACAACAGTATACGTTACTGGGCAAATGAATCAATTGTGAAACGGTACATAATATCTTGAAAGTCAATCACTGTGTTTGAATCAGCAGCTTGGTCAAATATATGCTTCGATGCAATATTGATTTCATCCAAGAACACACTAAATATCGATAGTGTAATTTAGTAACAAAACAATTAAAAACTCTGGACTTGAACTTCGTTCATACCTTGTGAACCGATCACGGAAATTCTTGACATGAAAAATACGGCTAGCAACTTTACGTTGAACTCGCCAAGCTTCGCCGTCTGAATTAAATATGCCTTCACCCAGCAAATCATGCAACATGGCACTGAAATGTTCGCCCTTTTCATAATTTTCAAAATTAGCTAATGAACGGCAGGAAATTAATAATAATAATAAAAAAAAGAACGTGTTGTTTTATAATTCAAATGCCTTACTTTTTAAGATGTGTTCAATATTTCTTGGATCACACGTGTTGATGATATTAGGAATAAGAATCTGCGTAGACCTACTATTATTTTGGAAAAACATTAAATTAAGCGAAGAAACTATATTTACCTTTGGAATAATACTTACAATGTTAAAGAGTTCAGCTCCTCGTAAACTTCAACAACATATTCGTGATATCGATCGACATTGGCGGCTATTCTAGGTAAGTTTCCCAAAATAGGTACACCCTTTCGATATGGGATAGACTCGTGAGGGGTATCAAAAGCACCACAATCAGGGTATTTGTAGGCTAAGAAAGCAATGGCTGAAGCAACGGTAGCCGCTGCAATAGAGAAAACTCCAGTTTTTGTTTCCAAATAAGACATATAACTTAGGGAGAAAAAAGAAGATAGTAAACTTTAATTTTTCTGCCTGCACTGCCGGATTTATATTCAAATGTGACTGACTATACATAAAGTGTACAACGCTCAAACCTGTTCTTGTTGATTTCGTATTCATTTCTGCGATGTACAATCGAAGAGAATATAAAGTAGTCTTGATAATAAAGCAAATTAGGAGCCTGCCATTTGTAACATATTTAAATGCAATGATTGATTGGAGGTTCTCTCCACACAGCAGACGTAGGTATCTTATCAGATAATAAAATTGTGGAATTTTACCATATCTAGCATTTAATATTTTTGCAGTATTTATAGAAATAAAGTATCTCTGGCTCTCTTCCGGCAGTTGCGGGCATTTGATTAACTATAGAGTCCTTATCCACTACCATTGTATCAGCAGGAATCAAAATATAGTTATTGTTATCGTGATGTTCATTTAAATGCCCTTCCGTCCAACACATTAATCATTGACCATTTAACAGCTCACTGAGTTGTATTGAAAGAACTAAAGATGTTGTTATTTGTATCTGCCGTGAGACTGTGTCTTGACTGGAATTTGAACAATGCTTTCTTTGAAAAGTCTTTCACGGAGGGCTGATTAACAATCTGTTTTTGTTTACGACCTATATTATGACCACTCTTATTTTTAATACTGTTTTAGCTTTGTCATCTATTTTTTTTTTTTTTTTTCGCTGTTATCTGACATTTGAAACCTTAATGTACGAAAATTTGAAAAGGTGAGTTATCTAAATGAATAACATGTACAGACCTCTGACGGTATTTGAACCTATTCGATTGTATCACACATCTCTTTATAAGTTTTTCTCTAATTTTATGCATTACTCACTGTCTAGTTATTGTGGACTGCCGTTAATGTATAATTTGTACACAATTCGTAATCCGAACATAACTGGGCTGAATAACTACCACTTAAATTATTTAAAGCAAAGTGATATACTAGTTTTCGCAAATTTCAATCTTGGTTGGCTCTCAAGTCCTCTTCCATAAGTCTAAGGCTGTTGTGTATTTATCCCAGTGCTAAAAAAAAATAGATTCGGGAGGATTTAGGCCTACAATCAAACTAAAGGATATTTCTAAAGGTAAGCAATAGGAAGCTCGGATCAGAAAAATCGGATTTTTTTTGTTATGGGCCTCTTTTTATAAATGGTTGGTCATTCTGCTTTTTAATCCCCAAAAGGTTAATAGCTCCCAGAAAATATTCAGACGGAGAGAACTCTGTGAATAATAATGTACTTATTATACTCCACAGTGACAAATATGACACTCTCCCAATCAAGCTCAAATCACTCTATTTAGGTGTAGAACGGAATCAGGGGGAAAAATGTTAAGATGCGTGAGTGTGTGTAGCACGGGAAATTAAAATCAAAGGGGGTGGATTTAACCTATTCTGCTGTCAAATGATGTACGATTTAAATTGCATGAACAGTTCGCAAATTAGACAGGAAAAGGCAATAAATTAACGTCTCCATGACACCGAGAAAAATAATATTAATAACTTTTCAATTCCATAAAAGGGAATTGATGGTAAGCGGAGAAGATATAATCATCATTTTGGAGACAAGATAGCACCTCGATAATTTTTTATTTTTTTCTTCGCCACAAGTTACCATTTTTTTTTTATTTGGCTGAGGAGTGGCTCAATTAAATATCGAAACATGTTGAGAGCTTCCTTAATTGGGAGAAGAATGAAAAAAGAGTGTTTAGTAAAAAAAAAAAAATAAAAAAAAAAAATAACTCTGTTTCTAAAAATAAGTTTTACAACTATTATCTACGCCACCTTTTTTTAACTTGATCTCTGCCCAAAAGACAGCCCGTAACAATCAATTGCTTTGTTGGATAGACTTGTTGAAACAGCGATTTAATTTTCAACCCTTGTCTTTTTAAAGAACAATTGCCACTTTTGATATCTAGGCACTTTTTCCCCTCTCTTATTATTATTACCCTTTCTCCTCTATTAGGAGTAGTGTTTTTTTTATTTTTTTTTTATTTCGTATAAACAGCATTGGACTTATTAATTCTCAGCCATCATCATTCTTAAAAATAATAATGAAGATTACAAGGACGTTTCCAATCCTATTACTGCTACTTTCGACCAGCACTAGTAAAGCACAAGAATATAGCTGTCTATCCTTGCGGGATTCAGTGACCTGTCCAGCCTATAAAAATTTTTACCTTAGTCCTGGAGGACTAGCACAACAATACCCGTTTCTTTCGAATGTGACGGATGTACAGTCGTTTGATGAAGGCATGAAACAACTGATGAAGACTGCCAATCCATATTATGTCGAGTTAGGCTGCTCCAACAAGGCAAGCTCCTCTTCAACCACGATACCCTATGCACGTTATTCTTTATCCTATTTATGTGCATCTCTGATTCAAGATAGTTTATACTCATTACCTTGTAATTTTGCCAACAAAGTGAACCCACCACCTTTATGTCAATCAACCTGCTTCGACTACACTGCTAGTGTACAAGCCATTACTTCCAACTCGGATGTCTGTTTCAATCAAGAATTACAATCAGCTCGACTCGAAAATATGAATTCGTCTTGTGTGTATTGGTCTGGTTTGAACGGTACGTTGGATTGTATTCCTGGTATAGCTAACGAACCCAACAATTGTGGATATCAACTCGAATCAGATGGATGTGCCTATTGCAAGACCAATGGCACTGACACCTGCTGTCAGACGATTAGAGGATGCAACGGTTTGTCGGTGGGTGCCATTATTGGTATCATCATTGGCTCGTTAGCATTGGCAGGCATGATGGGTGCAGCCTTTTTTTTCGTGCGATACAAAAACAGCAGAAAGAAGAATGGAGTTTCATATACGGGCAACAAATTTAGCATGAACCATAAAACAGAGACCAATGATCGTTCCAATGGAATAGGATATGAGGCGTTAGGATCTCAAGGTGCTTTAGTACAAAGTGAACAGCCCTTTTTAAAACCAAGTCAGTTGGATACTGCATTACCGCCATTACCATTACCACTATCACTACCACCACAAGGAGGAGATTTGGAAGAGTTTTATCAGGTGAAGCATCCTTACCCACCGCAGATGGGCGATGAGTTGGGCTTGCATGTGGGAGATATTGTATGTGTAGCCATGAATTTCGATGACGGATGGGCACTTGGATTTAATGTGACAACAGGTTTAAAGGGTGTGTTTCCAGTAGTATGTGTAGCACCTGCACCTGAAGAATTGCTGGAACAATTACTCTTTGACCAACCAACAAATAAAACTCTGGTGGAAGAAGGTTCATTAGATCATTTAAATATGCAACAGATTTGCGAGAACTTGAGAAGGTCCATCAGTATCTCTTCCAAGAGGACAATCAATACATTACCGTCCACAGAATTAACACAGCATGGAAACATACCAAGAAGAACTGCTAGTATGATGCGAAGTAATTATGATTACCGTGAAAGCGATTCTCCAACTTCCCCTACCACACGCACTCCCTTTTTTGATGTAAATATCCTTCAACAGCAACAACAAAATAATTCTCTATCACAACCAGAACCCGCTTTATTTCAACCTATCGAAACTTACGAAATGCATCGAAAAAACAATCGTGTATCTAAACTCGAAGAGCCATAAAAAAAAAGTTATATACATTTGAAAACAATAAAAAAACAGACATACACATCACACATATTTTAGATATGACGATATCATGGGGGTGTACATAGGGGAATGTGGTAGGCATATATACCTATTTGTGTGAAAAAAAATAAAAATAAACTCGTTCTGCGTCTTTCTCTCTCGTTCTATTTAGCGCATAAATTTTATGCTCACATAAATTAAATTATTTTTCTTCTTCTAAAACAAAAGAAATGAAAGCACTTGTTCAAACAAAGATGGACACTGTTTTCGAAACTGAATCTAGTAATCCTTCTTCACCAGAAAATTCTATAAAATTTTGGACTGGACCACCCGTAGAAACTCCTGAACATGTTGAATATTCCGAAAGCAAAAACGACACCATGGACCCAGGTAAAACATCGACCCCTCTTTCTATATGAGAACAAGCATTAAATAATAAGCGTCTCTCTTCTTATTAAACATACCATATATTATTTTAGGAAATTCGTACTTTTACGCCATGCCCAAATTAAATACAAATACACGCGATGAAGGATTAACACTGACCAATGATACGGTCAGTAAACGTCATCAAACCAAAATACTCTTGGTTTCCTTGATCGAATCACTCTGCAAAACGTATGGCGATACTCCAGAAACCACACGAAAGATCTTTTTTAAACTCTGCCAAACGTTGCGCACATTTGGTTTCATTGATACTGAATTCGAAGACGAGATAGCTGGAATGCGATCCAACTATCACCAAGCCTTTGAACATTTGTTTTACACTGCAGCACAAGCAGTACGACAAAGTGATCTTGCCATGAGTACACAACGTAAATTACTGACGATGAACGAAGAAGATCATGAGGACGATGAAGAAGTGGAAGATGAACAGGAGGAATTAAGCCCGTTGAAATATTCGCTCAGTATCCAGAATTCGAGATACAATAATGATTTTGTAGAAGGCGAAATTTTAGGCCGTGGTGGATTTGCTAGTGCTTGGCGTGCAAGGAATAAGCTCGATGATATTGAATATGCCATCAAAAAGATTCGTTTAGCGAATAATCAAGATGGTTATGATAAAATATTTAGAGAAATTAAAAATCTAGCGCGATTAGAACATCATAACGTGGTCCGATATTATTCGTCTTGGTTGGAATATGCTTATCCGCAACCCGAAGATGATACAGATGAAGAAGATGATGAATATGATCATGATGAATCCTCAAGTTTTTTCCATAGTCAGGATCCTCAGGCTCACTTTGAATCCGAATTATCCTTCATTTCGTTTGAAAGTAATAGCAATCAGATCCATTCTCCTTCTCAATCTTATTCTTCCTCTTATTCATCTTCTCAAAATAATCATGATCAAGCGGCTGGTAGTTTCACTCTGTTTATTCAAATGCAATTATGTCCCAGTAAGAATTCGTTTGTGTAACCCTCAAATCATCCCCCCTAAAAAAACCCTTCTTTTTAGGCACCTTGCATGAATACCTTAAATTTAGAAATCAGGAAGGCTTTTTCAGTGAGCAGCAAAATATTGAGTTATTCGGCCAAATTTTGGAAGGTGCTGCTTATATCCATCAAGAAGGTCTTATTCACCGTGACCTCAAACCAAGCAATATTTTTTTATCCAAGCGACACAAGAGTCGTGACGACAATCATGAACCCATGGTGCCTAAAATTGGAGATTTTGGTCTAGCTGCAAATGTATTGGATGAAGATGACGAAGATGTTTATATGGATGCATCATTTGAAAGTCAATGTCACAGTGCCAATGATTTATCTCATACAGCCTCCTCATCCTCTGTCACACATCATAACAGTGTTGAATCGCTCTTGTCCAGTCAGACATCACGGCCCAGACTTACCCGAAGTAGAACCAGTGGAGTCGGAACACGTACCGTAAGTAATTAACAGACTGCAGCCCAATTTATATTGACATCAATTTTGTTAGTATGCTGCACCGGAACAAATTGCAATTCCGACATTAGCGTATGATGAAAAGGCCGATATCTATTCATTAGGCATTATCTTGTTTGAACTGTATCGACCTTTTTCAACTGCGATGGAACGAGCCGATGCTATCGATAAGTTAAAGCGTAAAGGTCAATTCCCAGCAAATTTTGTAGAAAAGTATCCGACGCAATCCCAAATTATTCTCTCCATGATGAATAAAGATCCATGTCTTCGTCCTACCGCGTTGGAAATTCTCTCTTCTGATTTATTTCAAAAACGGTATATTGTACCTGACAATAATACCGTAGTGCATGACCGTGAAATGGCTGAATTGCGGGATCAATACACACAAATGAAGAATGAAAAAGAAGAGCTTCAAAGACGTCTAGATGAAATAGAAGCCAAATTAAATCAGTGTGATGTTCAAGAGGATAATCATCATCAGGGTAAAAGACCACATCATAGTACCTTAGATGTCAAGTCGGAAGGTATCACTCGTCATATTTCGAAAATGCTCTTTTCCTCTCAATGATATTATTTTCTCCTTGGTCATCCCTTATACATATATCTCTTTCCCCAAACACAAACAGACTTCTTTTTCTTCTGTAAATATACCACCCCACTCTCTCACTCACTCACTTTTTATTATTAAACCGAAAATGCTACTTGTTGATATGTTTCTTATGCAGAGCAAAGGAAAATTGTTCCTATCAAAAACGAAAAGCCACAACGCAGTCACGGGATTTTTGGACATGACTTTTTTTGTGCTATGCTGAGAGAGAAATAGAGGGGCAGTTTTTTTCTTTTTTCTAAACTGTCATTTATTTTTTTGAAAACATGAGTGGTTTATTATCAACACCCATCAAGGTTGACAGTCATTTGGATGACTTGTTCAAAAGTTCTGTAAGTACTGAGAATGTTAAACCTCAACGTTATTAATTGAATACTTACATGTGGAATTGATAGGCTGGTAAAAGTGAAATGGCTGTAAAGCCTATTCTTACCGAAGAAGTTCTTGCCCAAGTCAATAAAAAGAAGAAGGTACAAGGAAAGAACGATACCGATAAGGCCTTTTTAGGTTTCATGAGAGCCAAGGAATTACTCAGTAACGCCAACAAGGTAATAATGCATAGATGGAAGATCGACACTGACAATAATTAAACTAACTCTATTTTTACCATAACAGAGAAAGGCAGAGGAAAATGAAGAGGCAAAGAACAAGAAGGTCAAGAAAGAGTTGACCCTTGAAGAAAAGGCAGAAAAGGAAATCAGAACCGTCTTTGTTGGCAACTTGCCTGTCGAATGTATC